TACCATCAGCATGCTGAGGACACCCAGCCTTCTTCTTTTCATCTAATCCAAATTTGCAGGTGGATGCCCTTGACAGGTGTCTTGAGTCAGTAATGAGCTAGACTGGGCTAATAACTCAGCCCAAACAATGAAGAGATGCTAATGCCAGCTTACAGAGAAGTCGGTATTCAGCTGCTGTATCCCCTTAAGCAGGCATGGGGAACCTCTGACCCAGAAGTTTAATTTGTCCTGTCATGGTCCAATTTGCCTGTGAGGTGGTATCCCCTAAACCATGACCACCTGCCTCACCACTTGACATCATATCTCAGGTGTGGGGCAGGTGGGGATGCAGTTCCCCATGCACAACTGTGAGCCTTAAAGTGTTCACACAATTCTCCCTGGGCAAGGGAGGCTTGTGGTCACCAACATTCAGTTCACCGGCAACAAGAGCAAGCCTGCTGGGATTGGCTGAACTGCAGAGTTCCCGATGGAGCATCAAAATGATTGACAGATGGGTGGTGCCCTTTAGAGAGGGGAACCCAGGTTCCAGCCAACCCAATCGGGTTCCCCATCCCCTGCCTCATAGATCAGCTTCACAACTTGGAGGTGCTGTTAGACATGGCCTGGAAAGTGATGGCAAAACAGCATCTGTGACCAGAAACACCTTTCACCAACTCTGGTTAGTCCACTCCTGGCAAAAGATGCTGCTGCTACAGTGATCCATGCCTTGTTACTGTGACGTTAGCCTGCCTCTGAAAGGTCTTCATTTTGCTCAAAACATAGCAGCAAGACTTCCTTGCCCAGTATACCTGCAGCAGCATCTCCACTCCCATTGTTCGGCCTGGACACTGAGGTCCAGCTCCGAGGGCCTTCTGGTGGTTCCCTCATTGTGAGAAGTGAAGTTACAGGGAACCAGGCAGAGGGCCTTCTCGGTAGTGGCACCTGCCCTGTGGAACGCCCTCCCATCAGATGTCAAAGAAATAAACAACTATTTGATTTTTAGAAGACATCTGAAGGCAGCCCTGTTTAGGGAAGTTTTTAATATTTGATGAATTATTGTATTTTAATCTTTTGATGGAAGCTACCCAGAGTGGCTGGAGAAACCCAGCCAGATGGGCAGGTTATAAATTATTATTATTATTATTATTATTATTATTATTATTATTAGCTAGGACTAATTATATTGAGCATTTTATAAGGGGGCTTAATTGTCCTCACTGGTTTCCGGTTTGTTTCTGGATACAATTTCATGGTTGTGTTGACCTATAAAACCCTGTAAGCAGCTTAGGTCCTGTCCATCTGAACCTAGGCATCTCCACATAAGCCTGACCATTTCCTGAAGTTGTCATTGGGCATCCCCCATTGCAGATCCCTCTAGAGCTTAGGCAGGAGCTGATTACCAGAGGCCGGTCCTTTTATGTGCTTCCACATGGGATATAGAACTCCTTCTGAGACATTTAGTCAGCCGCTGCTCTCTTCTATTGGGCAAAACCTTTGTATACATGAGGTTTTGCCTAGGCATCTCAGTCACTGTAATAAAGATGTGGTTTTGTGGATTAACTGCGTGCTTCCGGGATCCAGAGCTGAAAGAGCAAAACTGTTGGGCTGACCCCTATAATCATGAAAACAAGGTTAATAAAGATGTGATACTCAACCTTTAGAAGCCTAAGACAGACACATCACCTGGAATACTACTGCTTCCCTTTGCCGCGGGCAACAAAGTTGATTCTGCTGGCACTTGAACAGATGAGCAAACACTGTCACAGCTGAGTAGTCCTACTGAAGGACTGTGGGATGGCATCCAACCAAGGCATACACAGAATAGACTTCTTGAAATCAATGGACAAGTCAGAACATATCTTCGGCCCTGATTTTCAACAGAGCAGCATTGTGGAGTTCCATCAGGAAATAGGTAGTGCAGTGGATTTTCCAAACCATCACCTCAAAACAAACTCTGATTAGGTGAAATGCCACCTACTCTTACATCAACCAGTTTAGTTACTAAATTATTATTCTGCCTCTGCACACCTCTCCGTAACTTTATGGGTGAGACAGATGACTAAACAGCTTTCTTAGTAGCGGGGCATCTTTTCTGTGAAACTATGGTACCTTTTTCCACTTTGTAGCTTGATGGCTCCTAGGCACCAAATATAAATGGGGATGTTTTAATGGTGATCTTTAATTTCCAGAGAGGTAGCTGTGTTAGCCTCTTGCAGCAAAATCAACAAAGAGTAGCCTGGTACCTTAAAGACAAATCTATTTCTTATAGCGCAGCTTTCATGGGCACATCATCCGGTGCCTGAGGTGTGATCCTGAATTGCAGGTGCATATATACATGGTTTGGGGTGGGGATTGCATACAATAAGGTCAGAAGGAAAGGCAATGCAAAGAAGTACAGGCGCAGATTATTGCTTTATTAACAGTGACTGTTCACACCCATTCTGACACTGGTAAGCTGAACATGTAGGAGATAATGTCTTGGTCACTGACTGGTAGGACCAGTGAGGCTTTACAATGCACCATGGCTGGACCCAGACCAGATTCTGGATCAGCTTAGCCACTCCCTGCCTCCAAAATGTCCTGTTTCAGGGTCTTCTGCCAGCTGTTGCCAGTGGGCATCCCTTCAGAAGTCAGAAGAGGATGCTCTGTGCCAGGAAGAAGCCAGTTTAGCTAGCACAGCTGGGCAGAGGGACACCTCAATCCAATTCCACACACTCACCACACAAGGTAGATTTGGATTGCTCTGGGGGTACGATAAAACCGGATTATGCCAATTCAAGTTACAAGTGGCAGTACTGAACCTCGTGATGTATTGGAATTCAGCGGATTCGCATTGCAATCTCCCTTTAAAGTTTTGTTCAATGGATGGCCACCTGAAGGTCAGTTACAGAGTGTCCTGGGAGGCTGAGCAGGACCTAATGTCCTCACCCACATGCTCAGGAGTTCATTTGCCTGCTCATTTCCAATGCAACCAGCCAACAATGCGCCACAAGGCAAACAGGCCATTCTGCATGCAAATGAAGAAAAGAACACAAATTTGACATGAGAAACAACAACAAAGAAAAGCCAGTAGGAGAGCATTTAGAATCACGTTGAAATAAATGTGTCTTACTCCTAGTAAGTGACTTAAAAACTATAGTGGACTGGCAAAACACAAAGCCCCTTTTCAAATCAAGGCTGCAATCCTATACCAAACACTTTGTTGTTGTTTAGTCATTTAGTCGTGTCCGACTCTTTGTGACCCCATGGACCAGAGCACGCCAGGCACTCTTGTCTTCCACTGCCTCCCGCAGTTTGGTCAAACTCATGCTGGTAGCTTCGAGAACACTGTCCAACCATCTCGTCCTCTGTCGTCCCCTTCTCCTTGTGCCCGCCATCTTTCCCAACATCAGGGTTTTTTCCAGGAAGTCTGCTCTTCTCATGAGGTGGCCAAAGTATTGGAGCCTCAGCTTCACGATCTGTTCTTCCAGTGAGCACTCAGGGCTGATTTCCTTCAGAATGGATAGGTTTTATCTTCTTGCAGCCCATGGGACTCTCAAGAGTCTCCTCCAGCACCATAATTCGAAAGCATCAATTCTTCGGCGATCAGCCTTCTTTGTGGTCCAGCTCTCACTTCCATACATCACTACTGGGAAAACCATAGCTTTAACTATACGCACCTTTGTTGGCAAGGTGATTTCTCTGCTTTTTAAGATGCTGTCTAGGTTTGTCATTGCTGTTCTCCCAAGAAAATACCGGGGGGTAATTCCCATTGATTCAACAGGGCTTATTTCTGAGTAAATCTGTAGTGCAAGGGTGGGGAACCTCAGCCAAGTATGGTCCTGTAGTACTCTCTTTAGTCCTTTAGTTGGAATCTCCTGCCTGGCCACTGCAAAAGCAGGATGCTAGACTAGATGGGCTGCTGGCTGGATCCATTAACCCCTTCCTATGTCCTTGAACATTTTTGTCAGCCTGAAATGTGCCCTCAACCAATCCTCTTGCATGCCTGGATGCAGAAGAAGGGCGAGTAAGCCTGTGGAGTGGGTTCTCAAAGGGTATGGGTGCACCACACTTGTGTGGCAGAAGAGGGTGGCAAGTGTGGCAGGACAATCAAAGAAGCATCTAAACATTTCAGTGTAGTACAGCATAATTATTATTTTTTTAATTTGCAGAATATGGATAGATCTCTTTTCAATCTAATTTGTCTGTCTCAATTTAGAGTTAATATAAATGAGAGTACCTGGCAAAAGCAAGCTCACGACTCTCACTGAGTTTGTATATACAGTACATACTTAAGGTACATATGTAAGAGGCTTGTTTATTATTATATTTTGGGAATCATTCAACTTCTTATGTAGTTGCATTGTTTTACTTTCTGGATGCCCCGTGATCATATTATAAAGTCATCTTGTTCTATGTTATAAATCAAGCACTGTTTGGAGTTGTTTCTTTTTGTTTTCCAATGCATACAAATAAAATGATGGTGATTGTCTGCTTGAGTTTATTAATCACATTTTACATTTAGTTGGGGGGGGGATGGCGGCACTGTGACTGGTCTGCAACAAACAAACTTCGTGGTGAGTTTCTCCACCTTTTTCAAACAACAAAACCCCCACTGGTGATGATTATTATGGAAAAGAACTGGTGATGGAAAAGAACGTGCCTATTTTCATCGGAGAAAAGTTGGAGGAGCTAGGGTTGCCATAATTCAAAAAGTGAATGGGGGGGGGGGCAAAGTTGTGGAGCTTTTTAATGCAAACTCTAAAGTTTTCGAGCTACTTTTAGGGAAATCCGCCAAAATCTAGACATCCGACGTGGGTTTCTATACGTCAGCTGGCGGTGCAACTTGCACAGGGACCGGGGGCTGCCGGTTTCCATGGATGGGGCTCCTTTCCAGCCGCTCCGGGGCGCAGGAAGAGCACATGGCGGCGGCGACTCCGCCGCTTCCCCGGCGCCTCCAGCCCGAGTCCCGGCGCTGCCGCTTCGCCGGAAGGAGCCTCCGTCGGGGCCCAGGCGAGCTGGGCGCTGAGTGGCGGCGGCGCGTCACGTGCGCGTCCCGGGCCGGTCGGCTGGCTCTCTTTCCCCGGCGCCGCCTCCTGCCTTTGCCCCCGGCCCGAGAGGCGGCGGTTCCCGGCGGCGGCTGCTCGGCGTCATGTCCCACCAGACCGGCATCCAAGGTACCGACCCCCTTCTCGGGCAGCAGCACCCGCGGCTTCCCCCGGCGCCCCTCCCTTGCCGCTGGATCCTTCCCAATGAATGGCTCCCCGCCTCTCCCTCTCTCTCTCTCTCTCTGCCCTGCACGGAGATCGGGCCAAACTTCCGGCGTCTGAATGCAAAAGTAACTTGGAAGGAGCCGGTTCTCCCTTTCCACCCTCAACTTCATGGCATCCTAAAGCCGGTTCCGAAAGGGGAAGGGCGGCGGCGGCGGCTCAGCCTCTGAGCGCGCGCAGAATGCCTTTCACCGTCTCCAGAATTGTAGTGCGGCAAGAGGGCCCGAGGGTCATCTAGCCCAACCCCCAGCACTGCGGGAATCCTACCCAACGTGGGATTCGAACCCGCGACCCTGAGACTACAGACTGAGCCACAGCCGTGATTCACCCTCCACCCACCCACTAGGGGAAGAGGGTCCAAGTCAGTGGGTGTGGATTTCAGACGGTCAAATTTGAACCCCGGCTTGTGCATGCACACGTTCCCTCTTTTAAGATACCGCATGGGAGCAACTCCTGGGGCTGGTGTTGCTTTGCCCCCCCCGTAAAATATTTGAAGGGGCTGCCCCCCCATAAGTGGATGGGCATTGCCATTCAAATGCGCCGCGTCTTGTGATGCATTAAGCAGCCCACCCAATTTATCAGATTTAAGTTGGCATCCCTGATTCACCTTAGTTGTTGTTTTTTTTAATTGTTTGTTTGCTGCGGACTCAAGTCCGAGTCTGATAGTTTGATTCAAATCTAAGGCGGCCTCTTGAGCTAGAAAATCACAAGTCAACACACACACACGCCATCCTGCAAAGCGGAGTTTTTGCCCAGTGCAACGTGCTCAGTTGCCCCCGGGGCGATGCTGAGGCGAGGGCGCGCGGGCGACGTGAGCAGATGTCCTCTTCCCGTTAAAGCCGGAGGGGGCGGAGCAGGCTGCCGCTGGCCTCCTTCGACCTGCACCTGCCCGCAGACTTGACGACTGGCGTTGCAAAAGCCTGTGCTGCAAAGCGAGGAGCGACGGTGCTGCAAAGTTCTTCAACTCTCTCCTGCTTGCTTTGCGCTCCAGAATACCATATACAGTATAGGAATATATCACAGCCCGGTCCAGCGTACAGTATATGCATACGTCAAACTGGAAGGAAAACCCACTGTGGGACTTAACTTCCCCCAAAGAGGAGCCTGATGCAAATCCCCTTGAAATCCCGTAATTCCTAACAGGATCAGGGAGTTCCCAGGTTGTGGTGGTGAGATCAAAGCATAGCTGGGTGAGGTGGAGTTTGGATGCACAGGCAGAAAAAATCAGCAACTGCTGGTTATTAATTGCTGTGTATTGTCTTGCTGCAGTGTGGAGAGAAGCTTTGCCAGTTAAATTGCTCCTTTTTTAGATAGGAAAATTAAATAGTGCCGGGGGAAATTACTGCCGTATAAACGTGCAAAAGAGACTAGTTGCATCTTTTGAAAGGCTATTGTGTATCAGTGATCAGATAAAGACGTGTCATTTGGGCTGCGTGATTAGGATTAGGCATGGTTTTTAATGGGTCTTCTGAAAAAATTCTTTCGCTTCCTAGAATGTTCTTCAAAACATTCAAAAGGGGAGGACTTATCCCTGCCCAAAGTGGCTTTGTGGAGCTGACACAATTCAGTGCTTTTGCTTTCCTTAGCCTAAGGAGGCAAAAGATCAATTTACAGCGGTTGTAGCTCAGTAACATTCACGTGACTCTTTTTGTATGTTAGTTCCTGTAGGAAAATGTTTTTAAGTTGCTATGCATGACTCATCTATTGATTGTCATAGCTGGGCAGTTAAAAGCACATTATATATACACACACACACACACACACACACACACACACATTTAAAAACCCCTAGGAAATTTGAAGTGATGGGTTGTGGCATCAGAAATTGAGACTGTAATCCTAACCCTATTTACCTGGGAATTTACTTCTGAATAGACATGGTTAAGATAGTGTTTGTCAGCTGCAATTCTGTGCTTGCTTACTTGGACACAATCCACAGCACACTAGAGAATAAACTGCACTGAAGATAGTGGGGTTTACTTCTGAGTAAGCATGCAAAGGATTGTACTGTAAGTATAATGTTGCATTGTTTGAAGTTCAGATGAACACTTTAAGGCAGATACCACTTAGTTTGTTGATCAAAAGGAGGCTTATTTTAAAAAATGAACAATATATTTTATTGGTTAAACCACTTGGTGTTAAAAATAAATAAAACCTTTTAATTACACGGAGCTTTTCATCAGGAAAGTTAGTTTACTTGCAGGGATCTCTGTCACAAAACCGTCCTGGGGATATCGGTAAAAATTGCTCATATTTGTGCAGGTCCCCTTGTGACCTTTGTTGATTAGTCTGTTTGATAGAAAGCATTCACCTGTCACCAATCTGCTGTGAATTGTAGATTTACCAGTGTCCACAGCCAATACGCTAAAAAAAATCCTCCAGAAAAACATCGTCCAAACACATCAGATATTGTGGTTAAAGCTTTAGGTTAAAGCAGGCTTAGAGTAACATCATATAAAACAATGTAACTCTGTTGCATGTCAGCAAAAGAAACTTACTAACACCAAAGGGAATTTAGGTGGCACAATTCCTTGCCTGAACCACTATCTTGATGTACACCTAATGAAGTCCACATTTCTTTGACTTGTATACCAATTTATCGCCTCCTAAGAGGTTTACATATCTCGAGAAAAAAGTCAATATTTATGATAACCCCCTCTTCTGCTGATGCCAGTAAAGGTACATAGAACAGCTGAGAGCATTTCCTTTCAAACATTTGCCAAAAAAAGAGTAATATAGATGATGCCCTTACTTTAACATTTCATAATGTTCAACTGTGCTCTATTGTACCACTTTGTACAAAGCGAATGGGGTCAATCTTCTTTCCTTTTATATTTTTGCAGCTAGTGGCGAAGTCCAAGAAACCTTTGCTAGAGCCAGAAACGGACAATACAGGTTTTTGAAAATAGTTATTGAAAATGGTAAGTGGTTACTTTCCTAACCTTCGGTTTTCATTTACAAAGAAGCATCGCTTCCCATCTTGAATATACCATTTCTTGAACCAAGGGCTGCTTGTCAATAAGATTTGCTTAAATGTTCGCCACCTTAATATTAGTTTTGTGATTAAATAAAATCATAAACATAATTAACAGTGTAAACCAACACATGTCTACTCGGAAGCAATTCGCCCTGCGTTCAGTACGGCTTACTCCAAAGTAAGTGAGCATCGGACTTCAGGTTTAGAGTACTTTTTTACAATGGTTCATGTAAGATTCATTGTTCTCTAGTAGGATCTTCCCATCAGAGTCAAGGAAAACCAGCATTGACCAATATCTCCCGGTATACTGGTTGCTTTGGGTTGTATCCAGTGCAAGTTCTACTCAGAGTAGATCCACTGAAATTAAGGACCACCTTAATTAAGGACCACTTACTCCTCTTACCTGAAAGAGGAGGGTCTGTAGCTTAGTGGTAGTCATCTCTGCATGAAGAAGATCTCAGGTTCAGCCCCCCAATATCTCTAGGTCCAAGGCTGGGAAAGAACCCTACCTGAAATTCTGCAGAGCTGCTCAGGTCAATACCACATAATAAATAATCTATAGCCATATTATTAATAATAATAAGAAGAAATTTCATTTATACCCCACCCTCCCCGGCCAGAGCAGCTAACACCAGTAAGATTACAGTAAAAACATAATAGGAAAAAAACAACCAATTTAAAATACAGGTTAAAATGCAATTTAAAATATTATTGAGACCTTATAGGCCTGTGTTTTCCTCAGCTGTCAATCTGAAGTTTGTTTCTTTGATGGGTAACCCTGGTTCAGAATTTAAAGTGTTTCCATGATTATGATTATTATAATTATTTTTAAAAGTTTTATATCTCCAAGGATAAATGCTCGATTTCTTCTTCAATCCCTTGTATCAGTTCTCAATTTCTAAATGCAAAATTGCATTTCAAATATCCCTTTTTTAAAAAATGATGAATATTCATATGTATTAGAGAAATATACAATCTTGGCCTTCTGTCTTTAGACACCTAACATTCCAGAGTAATTTTTTTATGAAAAGATTAAACTTCTGGCTTCCTATCATTCTGTTAATCGAGTGAATTACTCTTTGTACTACTTCTTTACCCTTTTGTACTTAAGCACTGACTTAGTGTACATTCAGCAGATTTCAAAACAAAGTACAGTATCAGTTTTTGCCTGCCATGTACCAACTCTGTCTTCACAGAACAGCTGACTGTGGGATCAGCAAGACAAGCTGTTGGATCCTGGGAAGCGGATTATGATTCCTTTGTTCTCCCACTCCTTGAAGAAAAGCAGCCATGTTATATTCTTTATAGATTAGATTCTCAAAATGCCCAAGGATATGAGTGGATCTTTATTGCATGGTCACCAGACCATTCTCCTGTAAGTAATGGAATGAAATATCAAGTGACTTAAAAACACAAGTTGAACTTCCAAGCCATGATTGACTGGTTTTGTGTTTTGTTTTTAAGCGAACTATTGACTTCCTTTTAATCCAGGGGTGGGCAACTTAAAAAACCCAACTGGTATCAAAGGTCAGCCAGCAATGTTGACCAAACTCTGTACCTTGGTTTGTGAACAGCCTAGTTCCCGAACAAATCGGCTCCTGAACGTCGCAAACCTGGAAGTGACTGTTCCAGTTTGTGAACTATTTTTGGAAGGCAAATGTCCGACGGGGCTTCCGCGGTTTCTGATTGGCTGCAGGAGCTTCCTGCAGCCAATCGGAAGCCGTGATTTGGTTTTCAAACATTTTGGAAGTCGAATGGACTTGTGGAACAGATTCTGTTCAACTTCCAAGGTACGACTATATTATATTAATACGGAACTGGGCAATGTGTGCCCCTCCAGATATTGTTTGACTTCCACCTCCCATCATCCCCAGCCAGTATGATAAATGGTTAGGGATGATGCAAGTTGTAGCCTGGCAACATCTGTAACAGTTATTTGCTCTCACAGCAAGTGTCTGAGCCTCTCCTTCCCCTACACACCCACGTAGCCCCATAGTGCTCTCTCACATGGCTGTGGCCAGTATGGAAATACTTTAACTGTATGAATGAAGCCAGACTTACAAGTCCTGGCTAAGAGACAACCAATTAGGTTGGAGAACACAGTCAATCCCTTGAATGTAATTGTGGCAGCCACAACTCTTACAGTGGAATAACATCCTGGCACCAGGCTACAGGGAACCAGGCAGAGGGCCTTCTCGGTAGTGGCACCAGCCCTATGGAACGCCCTCCCACCAGATGTCAAAGAGAACAACAGCTACCAGACTTTTAGAAGACATCTGAAGCAGTGGCGTAGCGTGGGTTGTCAGCACCCGGGGCAAGGCAAGTAATTTGCGCCCCCTAAGTGAGAGAGAGTGAGTGAGCCAGGTAGGGGCAGAGAGCTGCGAGTGCGAGTGCCCCCCCCCCAGATGTTGCGCCCGGTGCGGCCGGCCACCCCTGCACCCCCCACGCTACGCTACTGATCTGACGGCAGCCCTGTTTAGGGAAGCTTTTAATGTTTGATGCATTACTGTATTTTGTTGGAAGCCGCCCAGAGTGGCTGGAGAAGCCCAGCCAGATGGGTGGGGTATAAATAATACATTATTATTATTATTATTATTATTATTATTATTATTACCATGACTTCTTCTATACCACTATGTGGGGCTGCTGTATTGGGCTAGTGGTTGAAGGAATGATATCTTAAAGCACAACAAATACATCTAGGGAATGAAGCTGGTAACCTTTGCTGTTTGGTTCCTCCAGTGATACAGGGTTCAGTGCTCATAGAGCTTTTATGAGCAGTAAGATGGCCAGTACTTCGGTCACAAATGGTGAACTGAGCTTGTTGGTGAAGGTTCACTGGGTTGTACCCAGAGCCAGCTTAGCAGATTCTGCAGTGCGCTGGCAGGCAGTAGTTCTCCAGGGTTTCAGATGGAGCAGTCCCAGCTATACTTGGAGATGCCAGGGATTGAATCTGAAACCTTCTACATGAGCTGTGGCTGTAGCTTGTCATAGCAGAAAGCAAGGCCCAGTGGTTTTATGCCTTTGGGGAGTCACTTTTGCCTGAAACATCCACTTATCTGGCTTCCAAGGCAAAAACTCAATCTACTCTTGGCAGGTTCGTCAGAAAATGTTGTATGCAGCTACCCGGGCAACCCTGAAGAAAGAATTCGGGGGCGGACATATTAAAGACGAAGTGTTTGGAACCAACAAGGTGCGTATTCTGCAGAGGGATTTGCTTCTGAGCGACACCTTGGAAGTAATCTCTCTTCCATTTCTATGTGGCAACTGAAGTCCACTAAGTCCTGTGCAGGCGTTATAGGCCCCTTGTTGGTTTAACAAGGGAGTAAGAAGCAGGGTGGGACGCGGGTGGCGCTGTGGGTTAAACCACAGAGCCTAGGATTTGCCCATCAGAAGGTCGGTGGTTCGAATCCCTGCAACGGGATGAGCTCCCATTTCTTGGTCCCTGCTCCTGCCCACCTAGCAGTTCGAAAGCACGTCAAAGTACAAGTCGATAAATAGGTACCACTCTGGCGGGAAGGTAAACAGCGTTTCCGTGCGCTGCTCTGGTTCGCCAGAAACGGCTTAGTCATTCTGGCCACATGACCCAGAAGCTATACACTGGCTCCCTCGGCCAATAAAGCGAGATGAGCGCCGCAACCCCAGAGTTGGCCACAACTGGACCTAATGGTCAGAGTTCCCTTTACCTTTAAGAAGCAGGGCTGTGCCGCAGAACTCTGCTCTCAGCATCATGCGCCCCCCTGACATAGACCATAGAATTGTAGCATTGGAGGGGACCCTGAGGATCATCCAGTCCAACCCACTGCGATGCAGGAATATGCAGCTGCCCCATACTGGGATTGAACCTGCAACCTTGGCGTTATCAGCACCATGCTCTAGCCAACTGAGCTATCAGTGTGTGCAGCATGGACGTCCATCAGGAAGGGGTCTTTGCATCTCTAGCTGTACATACAGCTGGTTGCACCAAAGCCTCCTCCTTACAGATGTCTGTGCTGCGTGCATGGACATCAGGAAAATAGTCTGTTGTGTTGGGACTACACCGTAACAGTGCCACTCCTATGTTCACCACAGGATAGCTTTAAAAGAGCATTAGATAAATTCATGGAGATCAAAGTTATCAATAGCCATGATGACTATGTTCTGCCTCCACGGTCAGATGCATTATGTGTCGGAATGCCAGTTTCTGGGAACCGCAGGTGGGCAAAATGCTGCTCCACTCAGGTCCAGCCTTTAAGCTTCCTGCGGGTATCTGGTTGCCCACTGTGAAAACAGGATGATGATAAGAATAAGAATAAGAATAAATTTATACCCCACCCTCTCCGGCCAGGGCTGGGCTTAGGGCGGCTAACACCGAATATAAATTCCAATAAAACGTAATAGGGAAAAAAACCCAGTTAATTAAAATACGGCTTAAAACACATCTTAAAATGCAGCCTCATTTTAGTAGTAGCCCATAAATCAAGACCATAAAGGGAGGAAACATCAGATATTCACCCGAGCCAGCTATCCATGATGGTCCTACATGGGTCAGTAAAAAAGGCAAGGGAAAATTTATATACCAAATCCCATATGAGTCAGAGTGAGTCCAAGCTGAAGGCCAGGCAGAACAGCTCCGTCTTGAAGGCCCTGCGGAAAGATGTCAAATCCCACAGGGCCCTGGTCTCTTGTGGCAGAGCATTCCACCAAGTCAGGGCCAGTGCTGAAAAGGCCCTGGCCCTAGTTGAGACCAATCTAACCTCCTTGCGGCTCAGGACCTCCAAAGTGTTTATGGACCTTAAGGTCCTCCTCGGGGCATACCAGGAGAGGCAGTCCCATAGGTACAAGGGTCCTAGGCCGCATAGGGCTTTAAAGGTCAAAACCAGCACCTTAAACCTGACCCTGTACCTCACCGGGAGCTAGTACAGCTGATAAAGCACTGGATGAATGTGGTCCCGTGGCGAGGACCCCATAAGGAGTCTCGTCACGGCATTCTGCACCCGCTGGCGTTTCTGGGTCAGCTTCCAGGGCAGCCCCACGTACAGCAAGTTACAATAATCAAGCGTGGAAGTGACCGTCGCATGGATCACTGTGGCCAGATTAGGGCAAGAAAGGTACGGGAGTAACTGTTGCACTCAATGGGTCCTTGGTCTAATCCAGCAGGATTATCCCACATTCTTAACACAGGAGCCAAAAGGCCCACATAGCACTGTCATGAAGGTGTTCTTATAGTCAGAAGATCCCAAGTTGGGAAGCTTCAGAGAAGAATTTGGAAACTTGGGGGAAATGGCTGGGTTTTTTGTGTTTGCAGGAGGATGTTTCGCTGAACGGTTACCGAAAGTACTTGGTAACTCAGTCCTCGCCTGCCCCTCTGACCGCAGCCGAAGAAGAACTTCGACAGATCAAGATTAACGAGGTATTGCACTTAGGCTTGGGAGCCAGGCATTTCTGCAACGCTGAAGGAACGACAGAAGTATATTGTAGGCCAAATTGTGAAATAGCTTCCGAGAGCCTACCAGGGTGGGTGGGGGCTGCTTCTAGTCCTAATTACCTTGTGCATAAACATCAGCACAAATAATGCATCTCCCAGGTTTGGTTTTGAATATCTGTGACTGTTTATGCTTTGAGGGGAAGAATTTCTTCCAAGGCCCGCTATAAAACAGTAGCCACGAGCACTAATTTCAGGAATTAAAATTTGCCACACTATATCCTGCATACATTCGTTTAGTTGGTGAAGAAAGCAAAATGAGGATCTTACAGTAGCTCTAGAATCTCTCCTCCAAAAGTTTTTTTAAAATGTTTTTCTGGTGTCTACCAGCCCATCCGGGACGTGGGTGGCGCTGTGGGTTAAACCACAGAGCCTAGGACCTGCTGATCAGAAGGTCGGCGGTTCGAATCCCCGCGACGGGGTGAGCTCCCGTTGCTCGGTCCCTGCTCCTGCCAACCTAGCAGTTCAAAAGCATGTCAAATTGCAAGTAGATAAATAGGTACCACTCCAGCGGGAAGATAAATGGTGTTTCCGTACACTGCTCTGGTTCGCCAGAAGCAGCTTATTCATGCTGGCCACATGACCCAGAAGCTGTACGTCGGCTCCCTCGGCCAATAAAGTGAGATGAGCGCCGCAACCCCAGAGTCTGCCACGACTGGACCTAATGGTCAGGGGTCCCTTTACCTTTTACCAGCCCATCCACTTATTATTCCACATAAATTATTTGCATTGAAACAAATCCCCTTTTTTCTGTCTGACTCTCACACAGAAAGAGAGACAAACTTTCCACTCTCCTGTGTGAGCCTTATTTGGCACGCTGCCGTTTCCTTTTTGTGAAGAAAACCCTCTTAAAGCCTCATTAAGAAATAAAGGTTTTGATGAGTACGGAACAGTTTAAAGTTCAAGATTTGAAATTCTACCACGAGGATCCTCCTCCTCTTTTGCATATAAATTTTCCACATGGCTCTACTTTGTGTGGAGCACAAACAGGATTCTCTAAGCTGTCACCTTTTTCAAGCTGCGTTGCTCTCTTGGTTTTCTTTTCAGGTACAAACTGACGTCAGTGTTGACACTAAGCACCAGACTCTACAAGGTGCAGCATTCCCTATAGCTAAAGAAGCCCTTCAGGCGCTGGAAAAACTGAAAAACAAGCAGCTTAACTATGTGCAATTGGTGAGTACGCAGTTTCATCCTTTGAAGGTAATCCTGAACGTTATGAGCGTACAGGTTTCTCATTGTTGTTTGTGGAAATAGAAAAGGGACTCTGTTCTTAAAATTCCACATCTTATTACAAGCTGGATTTCTTATTACAAGTCTGGGTGGTGAACAGTTTGCCTCAATGGGCCAGATCCTTATCAGGATCAAATTTCACCGGTGAGGGTCATTTTGCCATCACATAATTGACAGGTGGGCGGGGCTGCCCACCTGCCACAATTCCTCTTTGTGCGATTCCCGCTTGGGAATCACATTGTGAGACCTATTGTCAAATTGCTTCTCTCCTCCCTCCCATGGAAATGGAGGGGGCGGGGAAACAAGGTTGGAGTTTGCAAGTGACAGCAGCAAGCTGGGCTCTTCCATTTTCCTGCTTTTGCATACAAAATGTAGTTTTATTTCTCTCCTCCGCACCGTGTGACGGGGTGAGAGAAAAACCTGCGTTTTGAAAGCAAAAGCAGCAAAGCAGAGAAGCCCCACTACAGTGGTACCTCAGGTTAAGTACTTAATTCATTCCGGAGGGCCATACTTAACCTGAAACTGTTCTTAACCTGAAGCACCACTTTAGCTAATGGGGCCTCCTGCTGCCGCCGCGCCGCCGGAGCACAATTTCTGTTCTCATCCTGAAGCAAAGTTCTTAACCTGAAGCACTATTTCTGGGTTAGCGGAGTCTGTAACCTGAAGCGTATGTAACCTGAAGCGTGTGTAACCTGAGGTACCACTGTATTGCTGTCACATGTAAACATCCACAGCAAGCAGGTTCAGCCTCTCTTTTCATCAGCTGATTGGGGGGTGGAGGAAGATGGGCAATCCTGCTTAGGGCTGAGTTCAGTTGTGCAATAAAGCTCTCCCTTCTCATCTGCTGAAGCCAGGGGTAGAATCCCGCCTAGCTGTGGATTCCAAAAGCGCTATTTGAAGCATTCCCCACTTCTTCTTTCAGTGAAGGAGGAGGTGGGTTGCTTCAGAGAATCTTTGGGCCACGATCGGCCAACAAGATTTCCCCCGCTCCTGCTCTAGTAGTATTTTGCTTGAATCAGAACGGCTTTTGCTACGCATCTTAATTCCAACCAATATTATGTGTGCTAACAGCAAATTGATATGAAAAATGAAACGATCGAACTGGCTAGTACACTCCCAACGGAGCTGAAGGACTTGCCGAAAAGAATTCCAAAGGACTCAGCACGGTACCATTTTTTCCTCTACAAACATTCCCACGAAGGAGACTACTTGGAATCAATAGGTATGCAAGTATTTCTGTGTATGAACTTGATTAGGTCTTTATAGCAGCAAGATTGATTTAGGGTTTTTTCCCAGCTTATTATCCCATATATATATATATATATATATATGCACACAGTGGTACCTCAGGTTAAGTACTTAATTCATTCTGGAGGTCCGTTCTTTACCTGAAACTGTTCTTAACCTGAAGCACCACTTTAGCTAATGGGGCCTTCTGCTGCTGCCGCACCGCTGGAGCACAATTTCTGTTCTCATCCTGAAGCAAAATTCTTAACCCGAGGTACTATTTCTGGGTTAGCAGAGTTTATAACCTGAAGCGTATGTAACCTGAGGTACCACTGTGTGACTGTGTGTGTGTGTGTGTGTGTGTATATATACGGTCTTCCAGTCTTAGAAAGGAAGTGCTTAATCATTCAACCTTTGCAACAAGTCTTATTAAAGGATTATATTTGGAATAATCTCTCACCGCTTGAAACATTCTGCAGTTTTTATCTACTCCATGCCGGGCTATATGTGCAGTATACGAGAACGGATGCTCTACTCCAGCTGCAAGAGTCCTCTTCTAGAAATTGTAGAAAGACAACTGTGGATGCAGATCATCAGAAAGGTAAGGGGGGTGCGTAATTTTTCCGCTGCGCCATCCCACAGATGTAGGTCCCTGCATGCTTGTTCTTCTCATTTATTTTTACCTGAGAGATGGATGGAACAGACAGTGCTGAGCACTGTTGCAAAAAGACTGTGCACGTACAGAAGTGCAGGGGTTTGGAACGCAGATTTGGATGGCCTGCCAAATCTTGGGTTCCCCCATTTTTGGAAACCATTTCACCAGCAGGCTGGGCCTCCTCAGCTGCCAATGAGCTGCCATCACTATGATGCAAGGCGATCCATTTTTCCTATGGATAACTAGGTGGACCTGTGTCCATTGATTTCATTATGCTTAGGTGTACCTAACCCTGCAGAGGATTGGACTGCATTTTTTAAAAATATTATCCTTTCTATTCTGTTAGCCAAGTTTAACCAATATAAAATAACCACTAGTTAACTCTGATCCACCAACAGATGGTTCTGCATGCTATTTCATACAGCGCCATCAGAGTGCGTGGTGCTTTATAGCCATGCAGGGGGGAAAAATCGATTATATTTTATTAAATTTCAACATTTTAAACATATACAGTCAAAACACACATTTGTATTTTCTCTCATTTTTGTTGACTTCCCACCTCTTTTCCCATGGAGTTGTTGTTTCTCTACTTCTGCTGCACCCTATCTTCTATCTATCAAATAATAACCATAATACAGTGGTACCTCAGGTTAAGTACTTAATTCGCTCCAGAGGTCCGTTCTTAACCTGAAACTGTTCTTAACCTGAAGCACCACTTTAGCTAATGGGGCCTCCTCCTCCTGCTGCGCCGCCAGAGCACGATTTCTGTTCTCATCCTGAAGCAAAATTCTTAACCTGAAGCACTATTTCTGGATTAGCAGAGTCTGTAACCTGAAGCGTATGTAACCCGAGGTACCACTGGATTATAATCTAAGTACTTTGGTTGCTCATAGCTCAAATCTTGCTTGCCAGTTCATCATACTATAATATTTCTTTAAATAGTCTGGAAAAAGCAACCATTCTTCATAAAACACTCAGCCATGCAGAGATGTTACACTGATGGTGACTCTCATGTGTTTCTTTGGATGAGAGTCATAAGGCGTATGAAACTGTCAGCAGTGCAGGAACCATATCCTTCGCATTTATCCTTACGCTTCTTCTCCAAATCACTTAGATTGAAATCGGCGATGGGGAAGAGTTAACTGCCGACTTCCTTTATGAAGAAGTTCATCCCAAGCAACATGCACACAAGCAGAGTTTTGCTAAGCCGAAAGGACCCGCAGGCAAAAGGGGAATCCGAAGGCTGATCAGGGGCCCGGCAGAAGCCGAAACACCTACTGACTAAATGCAGCGCCGGGAACAGAAGCGTTACGGTGGGGGTTAGGGAACCCACCCTAGCCTTTAGAAATGAACTGAAAGCATTCCACACCCCTCTTTTTCCAGGAGAATAAGGTGACCTGTGATTTTTCGCTGCACTTGAGACGCCACCTTAGATGTTACAAGGTCCACAGCCTGTGGTTGTAATGAATTGGGTTAAACTAAAACTAGAAGCTTGTATAAGGTTAATTCTAATATGAATTAATATCATAGCCTTACAGTTCAACACTACTCTATATGTAACATATATAGGTCTGAAGTCAGTTTAGTGACAACATAAAATGGATCATTAGCTAGATATTGAATTTTTTTCTCTCGCATTATCTACTTTTTAGGGGGCTGCTGCTTTAGAATAAAAATTGGCAGGACTGGGCCCTGTTTTTCTCCATTGTACTTCCCCTGTCCTTCTACAAACTAACAGTGCAATATTTTATTCCACTGTTTTCATACCATGATCCTAAACATTTATTTGGAAGCAAATTCCGTGGAGATCCATGGGCCTTTATTCCAACTAGATGTTTAAGATCTGGCTGCCGCAAGACTGAAACCTGACTCATTTGATACAGGGACCCAAAATTATATTCTTTGTAGCCTTCTAACAATACATTTCTGGTCTTCTGAGAGAATAACACTATTATTTTTTACATAAATCATGTTTGGCAATAAAGTTAAGCACTACATGTTTGAAAAATGTGATTCTGTAAGCAACACCAAGTGCTATGAAATAAGAGTTTTCACCATCCAAATCATTCTGATCTAATTAAATTATGAAAACTGCTGTGATGTGATTGACTCTCAGTTCTGGTCCAGGTCATGAGCAAACCATTAAGCGTATCCTCATGTGTTTCTTGTATCTAAGTAAAGATGTTCTCCAGGCAGCAGGTATGAAATAATAAAATGGTTGTAGTTTGAGACAAACTAATATGCTTAGGTTGAGGAAGCAAGCCTTTCCCAGCTGATTTAATGCAATCGGATTAAGCAAAAACTATCTGTTTCTGTTGAACAACAGCCACAGCTGATGCAAACCATGAACAACTGCTTCCCAGTAAGTGAACAGTTAAAGTACACATATGGTCACCATCCCAGCTTTCTACGTTAAATAATCTGTGCTTCTTACTGAGGTCCCCAAATGTTTATCTCCTAGCCATTTTTAGCAGTTTGTTTTGGAAGTAAATTCTATTGAATTCACTAGGGCTTTATGTAACCGACATTCCCTGCCTTAGTTGGTCTTTCTTAACCTTCAGATCACTAAACTGCTTCCGTGGCTTTTTGTCTCTCCCTCCCAGTATAAATGGTAGGCGAGAGCTTGTTTTAAAGGAAACAATTTGTTTAAATTTAAAAGGTTGCTGAAAAGAAAGCGTTTCACCTTTCCATGGAACTTTCGCAGATCACTGTTAATCACAAACGTTTGGCTCTCTTGTAATGTCAGCATATTAATGCCGCTCTACTGTGATCATGGCTAAACACTTCCTTACTGGAATAACAAAAGGACTGAGTTGTAAGCTAATTTGGATGGCAACCTGCCATCACTGCTGTAGATCAAGAATGGTGCTGCTGGGGTATCCCTGACCTATAGCCAAGCTGTATGGGGCTGAAGGGCGTTGGAATCCAATGAAATCTAGAGGACCACAGATTCCCCATCCCTGCTGTAGGTTGTTCCAGGTTCAGTGTAGGAATAGCCCACCAGATGTTGGGACTCCAACTCCTACCAGCCCCAGCCAATAGTGAGAGATGATGGGAACTGTACTCCAACAACACATGGAGCATGCCATGTTGGTTACTCCCTGAAATGAAGACACTGCATTTTACTTTGGTTCTGCTAGGGGAATAGTTCCCTCTTTACAGTAGCTTGCTTCTTCCAAAACGCTCCAATAAATTTGAACCCAGGGGAGCTGGTGGAAGGACTTCAGAACTTCACTTCCTGTCCTAAAATGGCATTGGCTGGAACGATGAGATTGCGGCTATGCTCTTTCGGCAACATGGAACTGCCGCAAATGAAAAACGGCATAGGCTCCTTGGTTTAAAACAGAATGGGAAAACCCCCGAAATGTGCCTTCTGTTGCATATTTTAACACATGCATCACTAGACAGTTTTGCATAGTGTATTGCTGCAGATTAAGCAGACATATTTTAACTGCATAACTATTGCTAATCTTTTCCATGGAACAAACGGTGTACAAAGGAGATGATTTGTAACTGAGCATCCCACGTCGAACCCTAATACTTTTGTCTTTTGCAGCCCATGACAAATAGCACATTGTTCTTAGTTCTTATCTTCTCAAGATAAGCAGGCGTTGGCATTCGTGCACCAAGAAAACTGCTGTAGAAGGGTAATTCAAGGAATCTAAGAGGCTGTTTTAGCAAGAGCATGGAGTGCATGAAATGTGGCTGCAGTTAACCATTAGGGATACGTTATTCTGAAAATAGCCAAGTGTCTTATCACTGGGGTGGGTCAGACTGCAAAGGGCAGGGCCAGGTGACTGCACGATATGATAGGGGTCGGGTGAGGGCCTTTCCTCTTTCCTGTCACTGTGACAGTGGAACAAAGAGAACTGCTTTCCAAGCACAACATTTCAGTGGATCCTGACTACTGAAAAGGATCATCTCTTTGCCCTCGCCCCAAAAATCCACACCAGCGCCACTTCATGCAGGACTTCTGCCAGGTCTAAATGGGCCCAGATTCCCCACTGCTGCGCTACCCCTTGTGACATGTGTTCTAGGCTAGTCCAGTGATGAAAAAACTCACCTTCCTCTCTGGCCCCGAATACATTATTATCATTTATTAAACTTGTATACCACCCTTCATCTGTAGATCCCAGGGCAGTGCACAGCACAGAAATACAAGACAAAAATACACAACAAGAACAAGAAAAAAACAAAACAATAACTCCCCAATCTTCCCTCCCCCAAGCATATTTAAAAGGATAGAGGATGTTAGTTAGCCAAAGACCTGGATAAAAAGGAATGTTTCTGCCTGGCATCTAAAGGTGTATAACGAAGGCAACAGGCAAACCTCCTTGGGGAGATCATTCCACAAACAGGAAGCCACTGCAGAGAAGGCCAGTTCTTGTGTTGCCACCCGCTGGACCTCTTGTGAAGGAGGCACATGAAGAAGGGCCTCAGAAGATGATCTCAGGGTCCAGGTAGGTTCATATGGAGAGTGTCGTTCCTTGAGGTCTTGCAGTTCTGTTTATGAGGCTTCTGCTCTTCTCTGTGCTGTTCTCCACTGCCTGCATGTATTTACAAAGGCACGATAAGTGCATCATTTCACCCACTGCAATGTTGAGTTTCTGCCCTGTAATTTCTCACCTGATGTATCTTCAGAAGTGGGGTTATAGGCAGACACATCATCATGCTATAATCAATGAGTCGCCAGACCAAAATAAAATCTACTAGGAAAGCATGCCAGGGATGAAATTTATTCTACACTGATCAACCCTGAGTGTCTGTTAATTAAATATTAACATACTAGGAGATGGGCAGTGAATATATTAGAAAAATTTAGCAAAATAATTTATGAAAAAAACTTACTTTGAAAAAGATATATGCAGTTAGACTAATGTACTGAATAAGCTGATTTTGATTATAGGTACTTATGTTCATCTTTTAGATGTTATCTTCTGGCTGAATAAATGAATTCTTTCATCACCTACTTTGAATTTATAAAGGCTCTTGAGTCATTGTCTCATGAATATACTGTATCTCAAAGTCATCATATGCATTAAGTAGAAACAAGAACTGAAAAAGAAAATACAGGATCTGAAAAAGAAAATACAATGTCCATGGTGCGGATGGTGTCTTCCATCTTAGAAAAGGGTAGCAGCGTTGTTTGACAGCACAAAATGGTTGTTTGATAGTCCAAGTTGATGTGCCATCATAAGCAGGATTGATTCTCTAGCACTCTTCAGAAGGCACAATGGTGCAAAAAAGAAGAAGAAGAAAAAGAGGGCAATTCACATACTCTGCGGTTATCTTTGTATGCCTATGTGGCTTTATGCTGGCAAAAATACAATGGCGGAACAGGTTCAGAGTTTCATGGTTCCCATGAGAACTGCGAAATATACTTCTTGAAAAAGATTGGCTTTGGCTTCATGAGCCAACAGAGCCATTTAGGTCACAGCTGGAGCACGTAATTTGACAAGGAGCTTAGCACTTCCTGAATATTAGCATAGCCTTTTCAAAAATATCTTTGAGACCATGAATTCAGTATAGCCTGCACGCTTGCAAGCCTGGTAAAAATCCCCGAACCAGAAGCACAGGTATATACAAATCTGGATTGTTCATAGCAGACATGTATCATTGCCACTTCCTCCACTTAACAAGGTTGGCAAAGGCTCAAGCACATTTGTGCAGCTTACAAAATGGATTTTTCACCTGGCACGGGATGCCGAGTGTGTTGGACCATGCAGTCCTAGCTCTCGCTAAACTGTTGCTCTAGGCACCCCTGTTTCACTTGCTTTTATATGGCTTGAGCTATGCGAACGGCAGCCTCATTAGCTGCTGCTTTTTTCCACAGGAGAACAGCTTAGAGATCTACTTGCCTGCGCTACAGGCAGCTTTTGCTTATTCTGTTTCATCTCACCAAGTTTTCTTTGCTCCCTTTTAAAGTCAGACTGCAATTGCCATTGGTAGAACTGCTAAAAATGGCCTCGTTTCTGCATCTGGCACAAATCGGAATAAGTTGCCCAATTAAAACCATCAGCAATTGTTTTTATATAGTTTGAAAGTGGGGACTGGGAAGCTACAGTACCATCCCAGCATCAAGCTGTTTGACCATCCCAGCTGTTCATTTTTATTATTAGTTGTTTGCATGTGTTAAGCTATTATTTCAGAAATCAATTACAGAAGCAGCAAGTATACCCAATTCCTCTTTGATTCCATTTACTTTTGATTAGGCACACTGGCAAGTCTGGAAGATGGGCTCCAACAGCTATAGTTTTCAAGAGGGGGGAAATATTCAAGATTGTCAAGTCAGCTGCAGACAACTTTCTTAAGCAGTTTAGTCAAATAGATGCCAACAGGAAACCATAAACTGCTAGCGTGGATTTGCATGTAATAGTGCAGCTCTTGCACCTTCTTGTTATTGGAGTGTCACACACGAGCTTAGAACAAGGTGGATCAGAAAGCTGCTCATACAGAAACATTTCAGATTTGTAGCAGAGATGCTTAAGGAATGTATCGACTCCTGGATTTCTGCTATGGGGTATGGCCACTGAGTGAGAAGGAGCCAAACCTACAGTGTTCTTCTCCAAGCTGCAGGCAGGCAGAATTGAGGGCAATAAGCTTGCAAGGACAACAGCATACACATAAGGTTGTCAAAAAGGTGTCCCTCTTGTGCAGTCCCAAGATCCATGACGAAGTAACCGGGCCTCAAAATAACATTCCCCTTTTAAAGAAGTCTATGAAAGTGTAAGCAACGGCACAGGAACACAAATGTAAAATTAGCGTCTAAATCCATTTGCCCCCTTATCAGGTGGGCGGCTTTGCAGGCAGGCCCTGGAAAACCGGCCTATCGCAGGCCAGATCGTATCCCTGCCAAATGGACCCATGGCGGTAGGTGTTAATGGGCGTTCCCCTGGGCGTAGGACCAACCGACCAATCATGACCCTTTGTGCTGTGCCCAGGGGAAGTTTAAATGTCTGGCTGGTGGGGCCTTTCAGCCTTTCTCTTGCCGCACCGGTCCTCCCACCCTCCCTCCCTCCCTCCCTCTCTCAGATTAGGGTTTTTCAGGGATGGTTTGACCTTGCTATGGACAATATCAGTGGCCTAATTTTCAAGGGCCGGGCAGGAATTTCCCCCACTTAGCTAACTGGCATCACCATTTGGGTTTTCGCCTACCTCATAGGAAGCATCACAACTTCGTAAGGTGGATAGGCATTGGGTAAACCTAGTATTGTTTGGAGGGGAGGCTGTAGCCTCTGCCTACCCCTCCACAGGTAAGGGTATCCTGTTAAAAGGATCCAGAAGGGAGAGCTCCTGCCCGATGCCCAGGCGGGGGCAAAGGTCATACCACTCCTCCAACGGGAACTGCTTGGGGGGTACCTTGATTTGACCTAGGTCCTAGGGCACCCCCCCCCCCCAGCTTCACCCTTAGAAACACTCCCAGCGAGTGGGAGTGACGTGCAGTTGCTTATCCCAATGCCTATGGTCAAACCTCACATCTGTAACCAATAAAGTTGTGGCCTTATTTGATCCCAAACCAATATCCTGTGTTGTGTCTAGTTTTTTACACCTTAGGGAACAGAGTGGTCACAAGGCCTCAGTACGTCAATGGACTTGCTTTTAAGTCACAGCACAGGAGAGACCTTACTCAGCCAGCAGGTCTTGCAAGTGTTGTCTGACCTGCAAGGGAAGCAGAAATATAAATTCACACTCGCCAAATGTAAACACACTCTCAAAAGCCATACAAAGGACAAGAGCATAAAAATATCCTGGTACCGTCTTACTATCTGGCCTCCTGTTCTTTTTTTCGTGCAGACACTGGCATGCAACTGAATACATCTGTTCAATTGATGCAATATTCCAGCTGCTCATCTTTTCATCAACGTAATCTTGAATCGTCTTTTCTTCATCTTCAATTTCCTCTTTGATAGACAGCTGTTTGGAAGCAGAAATAGCGTCAGAGGAAGAGCAGGACTATGAAGGCTGGGAGGGAAGATAAGCCCAAGGAGGAGGAACCATAAAGTCTCTGCCACATTCACACAAGCCAAGACAGAAAGAGAGGGTAGTCACTTTTTATTCCGCCCCCCCCGCCCCATATCAATGGTTCCTCTTTATATACTTCTCCTCCCATCAGTTTGATCTGAATGCTGCCCATATTCTGTAACCAACTCTGGCTTGTTGTTCTGTTGCTTAATCCCTCTCCTGGAAAAAACAAGTGTTTTGCCCTAGTGCTACATGACTTTAGTTAAAGAGATCCCAACGTGTAGTCCTTGGCTCTAGTTGCATGCTCATGCAGACGTTGTAGTAACACACTTTAATTACAACAAGACAATGGTGGTAGATTCACTGACATTCTAGTCAATGTCAGCTCCTGCCAGAATTCTTGTTTTAACCTAAGTCACGGTCTTTTGATGCTGTAGACAGGCTTGACACAGCAGCTAACTTCTAGTTTGCTGAAAAATGCAATGTGTATTTATTCTAAACGTATTTCTAGAAGAAGAAATTACCAATAATTGGGGGTCCCGGTTTTCGTCCACAGGAGTAAGTCCAGTTATTATTTCAAGTAACACCTAAAAGAAAGATAATCAGAAAACAAGAACAAAAAACAAAAAAAGTGAAATGCACGTCATGAACTACTATAAGAAACCAGTGCACAGAACCACTCAATGAAAAACCTTGTGCAGGGAAAGGTTTTAAAGAAAGGGTTGTTATGCCTTCCTTCAACAATTGATCCCAAGGCAGCTGATACTCCCTTTGCTGAACCTGCCTATTATCAGACTACTAGCCTTGCATATATTAATAGCACTACTCTCATATATATTAGCTTCCAAATAACTTTTCGGAGTTTTTTCACTCACCACGCCAAAGCTGAAGATATCAGATTTCGGGGTTATCTCCCCACGCAAAGCTTCTGGGGCCATGTAGGCTGCTGTTCCGACAATTCTGTCCGTTAGGATAGTGTGCGTCAACCTTACTGAAGCCCTTGCAAGTCCGAAGTCGGACAGTTTCGCCACAAAGTTCTCAGTAAGTAAGATATTTGCACTGAAAAACATAAACAAAAAAAGGGGACTGAATTCTGTTAGGTTCTTCAACACTCCTTCTCAAGGAGATGGTGCTGCAATAATCAAATGAAAAGTAAGGTGGGAGCTGTATTTTTAGCTAATGCTCCAGGTTTCATTATTATTCCATGCTTGTAGTTTGCGGGATAAAAGAGAATTATGGCCACATCCAAAACGCTTTTCTCTACTAAACTGTCAGGAAGAGGCAAACGGGAAAAGATGAAAGGACAGAAACCAGCAGTTATAGAGAGCCTAAAGAGATTATCAGCAGCTTGTCGTCTGACAGTCAGTCTGACGTAGAGGGGGAGGAGGATGAGCCTGGGACAAGTCATGCTGTACACAGAGGAAGTAAGGGGAGGAGTTTTCGCAGACTTGCATGCTGGGTGCGGAAAAGGAGGAAGTAACATTAGAGGGAGCAACTGTGCACAAGGGGAAGGAGGTTAATGGAAACGCTGGAGATGTACATTTGAACTTTGTCAAATAAATCAATTGTTTGGAACTGGCTGGGAGCCCGGAGTCTTATCTATGGCCAGCTGGACAGCACTAAGCCTCTGACATAAAAAACCACACACCCAGCAACAATTATCTTTACACTGTTGCCTTCTTCTATTCAGTGTCAAGATAAACGTAGAACACAAATATTGCCCTGTCCGCAAATCACCATAAATGTTTTTGTGTTTTTTTTTAATTTAAAAAGCATGTTTGAAGAATACTGACAAAACAAAGATGGAACTATCTGTCCTTAGTGCAATAATTAGTTTTTTAGATTTTACCTTTTAACATCCCGGTGAATGTGGTTATTTTCATGTAAAAAACAGATTCCATTGGATGCCCCATAAGCAATCTTACATCTTGTTTCCCAAGGAATTGGTGCCGTGTTATCCTTAAAAACAAGTGGAGAGTGGAAGTGAGTCAATATTTCGAGGCAGAGAGGCCTAGAATATCGAAGTGTTGAAGCAGTGATTCTTCAACTTCGCTGGACTGGTCATGTTATGTGGATACCTGATTATTGCCTTCCAAAGCAACTACTCTATTCTGAACTTAAAAATGGCAAGCTTAATGCTGGTGGTCAACAAAAGAGGTTCAAGGACTGTCTCAAGGCAAATCTTTAAAAATGTAGTATAAACACCAACAATTGGGAAACACTGGCCTGCAAGCGCTCCAATTGGAGAACAGCCTTTACCAAAGGTGGCATGGGTTTTGAAGACGCTCAAACTCAGGATGAAAGGGAGAAACGTGCTACGAGGAAGGCACATTTGGCAAACCCTCACCGCAAAATGACTCCCACCCAGAAACCTATGTCCCCACTGTGGAAGGTTGTGTGGATCCAGAATTGCCTTTCACAGTCACTTATGGACTCACTGTTAAGACCGTGTTCATGGAAGACAATCTTACTCGGCTACGAGTGAACAACAAATAATAATAATAATAATAATAATATCACATTCATCTCCTGGGCCTTTGCATTCATCTATCGCATGAAGGAGCCTAATGGGGCTCCCATGCCCCTCCCTCTCTCATCCTTGTTCAGTACTGCTGGAAGGAAATTGGACGCTTTCAAGGTTTGTGTTAAATAAACTAGAATTGTGACCAGACTAGTTAGCACTATGGTTCACTGAGCCATGGCTTTGTTCAACAAACCATGGTTTGAATTAACCAGACTTCTCCTTAGTTTGGACACAACCATAAATTCTAGGTTAGTTTAAAACAGGAAGTCAAAGCTTCTGACCTGCTCACTGTGGCCATCTCAGATGAAAAGGAGGCACATAAGCCCAAGCAGGCTCATTCACATAACCCTGAACCCAAGGCAGTATAAAACTATCCAAACCAGACCAAAACACAGAAGTTTTCCTCTTTAAAGCTAACACCATAACCTTCTTAAGAAAATGAAGCTGATCGCCCCTCAAAATGGAATAATATTGTGCCAAAGTAAACAATGCAAAGATGATTGACATCATACCAGTGATATACACAGTGATAAGAGGAAAACCAATCAGTGCCACCAAATAATATTTGCCTGATGTTCTTGTTTCAAGTAACCAGCTTTGCAAAATGTGAAATATCATGTGCTCCAGTTTATACTGTCTACAAAGCTTCTGTCTACAAAGGCTGCCCTTGCCACTGTATTAAAACGTAGCTCTGTACACACATATCTTTGCACATTCAGAGCTATCCTTCATCACCATCAATAGGAGAGGCCTGCAAGGGAAAGAGGTCCTTGTGATCAGATACTTCACATCTACAATAGATTCCAGATATTTCCGTTTCCCCCTCTCAGTTTAGCAGTTTCAAAGAGGCATCGACAATAAGCAAGTATTTCACTTACCAGGCAAGCTAGTCTGTCAAGCAATGAGCCATTAGGCATATAATCATAAACAAGGCAAGGCTGATCGGAGTCATTTGAGAATCCAAGCAATTCTACTAGGTTCTCGTGCTGACATCTGTGACAAAAACAAACCAACGGCCTTATTAGTCTGGGTTTTCGTATTTACTGTTCTGAAAGGTTAGGAATTAGAGGGCTCCAATGAACCTAGACATAATCTTGATCAACGATTTCAGTAACACAAACTACATACGGTAAGTTTATTTGATGCCAATAGTTTGCTTTCATGCACAATTCAGTGGCAGAGCACATGCATGCAAAAGCTTCTGGATTTGATCCTTGGAATTTCCACGCACGGATGGGGAAAATTCCTTTCCAAAATCCTGGAGGGCCACTGCCAGACAGCGCTCAAAATAGTGAGGATCAAAGTACACGAGGCGCTATGCACATCTTTAACCCCAGCATGCATTATTATTTTTTCTGTAAAATAAGCAGTCAGAACCGGGGAATGGTAGGGAGCTGGATCTTGTGCTAAGATTTTGGTTGTGGTTGTATAGAGGGGGGAAACCGCTCACAACTTACTCTGCCATAATGCTGATTTCTTGTTCGAACTGCTTTTTCAGGTCTTCGATACTTACATCGGTCACCTATAATGACATTTAAAATAATGGGAGGTTAATGGGAAGCAGACCGGTTCTAGGTCAACCACATAATGAAAGCTTTGTACTTAACAGTGGCAAATAGGGTGGTATCCAGAGCCAGGCCCTCAAGGTTTTCTGTATCTTCCAGGTATTGCTCAGAGATATTCAATGAGGTGCATCAATAGAAATACAGCAGTAGGGAAAGCTAGCTCTGAGCCTTTGAAACCCAACTGCAAGTGAACTCATCAGCATCTTTGTTAACAAGCAACCTAGAAGCTAACTGACCGGTGGGAGAATTCCACAAGCAAGGAGCCACAATGGGGGAAAAATACACAAGCAATCTCCCTACCCTCAAGGATCTAGAGTGTGCTGGGAGTTATTCCACCATCACTTTTATGCAATAGTTATTTGTTTCCTATTTCTATCTCACACCTTCCTCCCAAATGAGTCCAGGACACCAAGGGGCCAAAAAAGAAAAGAAAAATACTCTGGGGTGCAAGTGATAACAACAAGTTTACACGAAGGGGCATGTTTAGACTGCATATGAGTAAGCCCCACTGAATTCAATAGGGCTTGCTTGTGAGTAGGATTTCACAGTAAAATATTATTCTTTATCGGATTTATGACAAAAAATGCATAATAAGCCCCCAAATTTGCAATATTTCCTCTGCTCTGCTCTTAAATGTTATATGATAGATGTGTGATACATAGGGTGCCTCATCGCATGGTTTTCTGGCCATTTTCATGCCTCAATTTTGCTTACACTTTGAGAGAGAGAGAAAAGATAATTCACAGTGCAAATGATGATATACATAGTAACAGGAAACCTACAGAAGTAAGTTTTTTCACTGCCACTGTTCTGCCATTAATGCATCCTTTGTACACCACTCCAAAACCTCCTTCGCCAATCTTGTTGCCACCAGCCGACACAGTTCGATCATCAAAGTTATTTGTAAGACTTCTCAGTTTATCAAACGAAAAGCTCTGCAATACTGAAAGAGAAGAAATGTGAGTGGAGATCTCAAATTCAAATTTTGATGGGGGTGGGGACCCAGCAGGATTTTAAAAAAAGAAAAAAATTCAAATCCCAGCACCACAAATCTTGCCATGATTTATTTACCTTACAGAGATTTGTCTTTGCTTTTCAGGAGATGCCAGCAAAAGGTGGAGAGAAAGCAAGATGAAGATCAGTTAGCTATTCTTATGCAAGGCTGTATAAGTCAAAGGAGAGCAATCTGTGACTCAGGGCTTTATGAAACGCTCAGCCTGGTTTCATGCAGGTAGGAACAAGGGAGAAATAGGTGGCAAAGAAAGGAGGTGAGAGAGCGCAGGTGCCCCACCTGCTTCAGCATGCAGCCCCAAACAGATTAGCCCTAGGCATATGTGCTCCTCGACAGAAAAACAGTTTTCCACCCCAGAAAAAGTTTGCAACTCGCTAGCTACAAGCAGTGACCAGAGGGGTTTTTTTAAAATTGGAAACTCTTCTGCTCACACTGGAAGAATTTCTGATGCCCCAGAAAGTGATCTAGTTTAATGTGTTTGTTTTACTTGTATTTAGTAAACAAAAGATAAACACCTGAAAACTGCCATGCTTGCCAAATACTGAATTTGCAACTCGCTTCTGCTTGCTGCTTCTAATTTGCTTCTGAAACAAAAACTTTTCCATGGGGGGGGGGGGAGCGATTTGCCACCCAACCTCACTGGCCATGAGTAAAGATATCTTTAAGCAAATAGGTTGGTTAGCAAAGGAAGGTGGGGGGAAAAAATTCCAACATTTTATTTCAGAATGGAAATTTGGCATATTTTGACAGCAGGTTGCTTAAAACAATGCTATAGTAGTTGTTAAAACGTTAAGATCCAGCCGGTAAAGAGACCACTTGCCCCTTGCCCCTCCTCCCTGGAACTGCCTAGGAGGCAATCATCTTGAGTAAACAACTCTGGATTTATATACCTGCCTAGTCTGTTACAGCTGCCATATTTACTTACTTCACCAAACCTTTATTTGGTTTATATAGGCCATCATAAAACATCCATATATAAAATTTTATATACAAAAACAGCCATGTAAAATACGCAATAACGAGGATTTTCATTGGGGTTTCTTTCTGCTAAATAGTGCCATTCACCACTCTAAGAGATACTATTGACAAAAACGCAGCCACCCTTGCAGTTACTTCCGGGTTAATGTCAGACAGATAGAATCTGATATTTTCATTGTCCTGTGATATTAAGTCTACCCAAAAAGGGGGATAGCATGTGTTTGCATAGCTGGTTGTACAATGGACAGTAGTAAAGAATGTTCTACAGTTTCTGGCACATTCAAAGAACATCCACAGTGTCTATCGTTTCTGGGGATGTTTAAATATCTATCCTTGACAAAAGATGAGGAAAAAAACATTCAGTCGGGCTAACATAAAGTCCCTGTGTGGGACTGGAATTATTAATTTTGAAATATAAATGACCCTGTTATCTGTTGTATTCAAACCATAGAACTTGGGGGAGAAACTTTTATTTACAGATAACTCGTTGTTTTATTCTTCAATGTCCCTTAATCTGGTTTAAATATTGGTTGCCATATTTCAAAAAGTGAAAATCTGGACAAAACAATTGCTGTGCTTTATTTTTAAGGGATTTTTGGAGCTATTTTTAAGGAAATTCACCAAAATCTACACTTCAGACATGGGTTGCCATACGTCCGGATTTCCCCAAACATTCCAGTGATTTCTGCCAGGACACTGTTTCCAGCCAAATCCTGGCTATGTCTGGGAAATTCTGGTCATATGGCAACCCTAATCTCCACCTCAGATATGCATGTGGTTGATATTACTTCCCCTAATATCATGTTCAGGGACGTGGGTGGCACTGTGGGTTAAACCACAGAGCCTAGGACTTGCCGATCAGAAGGTCGACGGTTCGAATCCCCGTGACGGGGTGAGCTCCCGTTGCTCGGTCCCTGCTCCTGCCAACCTAGCAGTTTGAAAGCACATCAAGTGGAAGTAGATAAATAGGTACCACTCCAGCGGGAAGGTAAACGGTGTTTTCGTGCGCTGCTCTGGTTCACCAGAAGCGGCTTAGTCATGCTGGCCACATGACCTGGAAGCTGTACGCTGGCTCCCTCGGCCAATAAAGCAAGATGAGCGTCGCAACCCCAGAGTCGGCCACGACTGGACCTAATGGTCAGGGGTCCCTTTAATATCATGTTCTACAATACATAATGGACTGGACTGAAAGGCAGGAGGGGAGTGATAGAAGGAATAATTGCCTACCTGAATCATTAAGAGGCAAGCAACTCTCTTTTGTACTTGGGCTGCAAGAAACTGAAGTTAGGCACCCTTTCTCTGGAACCGAGAGAGGCAATACAGGTGCCACTTGATTTTCTTTTTCATTCAGACACGTAGTTTCTTGTAAAGATAAGGGCACTGTAGTGTCTGTTGTCCTCATGGAATCTGCCAAAAAATAGAAAACAGTCAAAACAGGTTTTAGGTGGGAAACAGGTTGCCGAAAGCTGTTCTGTACCAACAAACAGAATAGTCATGGCTTAATAGTGCACTGGACTCTGTCTTCAGAGTCCAGTCTTAAGGTTGCATCTAATCACACTTTGGGGCACAGAGACATCACCAAAAACAACACAGAATCCAATTTCTGTATCAGTTTTGGACTAGTAAGGAAGGCAATGCACCATGTTCCAGCTTCACCTGCAGCAATAATGTTGTGCATCAATATAAAGTGCCTTCCCTTGTGGTGGTTGCCCGTGTGAAACAATCTAGGGTTATGCCAATATGTAAAAAGTTGGAATATCCCAGAAAAACCTTGCATTTCAGGAGCACAAGGAGACTAAGTTTTTGTGACATGATTCAGCGTATTTTAGAATGCCTTTCAGGGCCCAGTCATCACAATTTGGCTTGCATGATATAAATAAGTGGGATATATGTTTGTCAGATTTTTAATAGTTTTCTGGTGGTGCTACATATCCATAGCTCCAACTCTGTTTCTGGTGTGGCTACAGGCCTACTTGGATTTCTACCAGAGTTCCTCCTGACCCAAGTTGAAGATCCTTTTCAGAAAAGAGGAGTGCTTTATACGTCTTTCTCAGCTATTAACCAAATTAAGGATTTCACAAATGGCTACATGAAAAGATGCTCACCTGAAAGACAATTATTAAAAGCCACCATCTAAAAGACATAAGAACACCACCATACCTCCCCTTTGAATACATGCCAGAGACACCGTGAAGACCAAAATTACCTGGAAGCAAAAGTTTGGCTGCTGCGAAGAAGTGATTCCTGATTAGCAAGTCTACTAGATCACTAACAGTGCAATTTTGTGTCCCCCAGTCAAAAAGCAGTTCACAAGTGGGGCTCTTTCCTACTTGTTTTAATGCTTCGAAACGCCTTTTTAAAAAAGAAGAGAAAAATCAAATTAATTTTGAAAAAAGATTGCAAAAAATGATACACAGAATATTAATTTTTAGCCACAAAGTTCAAAAGCTAATACGTCAACAGCAATGTAGCTTGCATGATATATTTCACTTCAAATATGGCTTTGGTGCAAGCTTATGATACGATAGCTGGATAGCTCAGTTGATAGACACATTAGTGCATGAAGAGCTGGATGCTCTGACATCCAAAAGGATGTCTGACAGTATATGGGATGAACAGGGCCACCACATTAAGAACTCAGCTGTGACTGCAATGAAAAACTCTAACTACAGTGAGGGTGCTGGCCTTAAAAGATGATGGTTACATGCTCCATCAAGTAAGCTGTCAAAGTTATTGGGTTCAAGCTATACAAAAAGCATATACCAAGTATCAGTTTAAGATGTGATGCAATAATGACGCTAAATTGTAGCAAAAGATATATGAAACAAAGAATGCAAAAACTTGATGGGAAATATTTCAACAGCTAGAATTGTTATTCTTCAATGCCAAAAGCATTGAAGAATGCTTCAATCCTAACTACCAGAGAATGGTTCCTTAAAGTATTAGATATTGCATATATGGACAGATTAATATAGTTGTTTTCTGTAGCTATAGTAATCTGTCTTTATGCGGCATATCTAATATTTTTTAAGGAGTTGGAACAAGCTACACAAATGGAGCTTTCCCTCCCTAAAATGGCCCTCTTGGTAGACACTTGAACCAATTTCTGGTGGATTAGAAAATCTAAATATGTCAACAGCAAAGTGTGCAATATCATATATTAAAACTTTCCATGTCAAAAGACAACACCCATACAATCACAGAACTTGTAGAGTTGAAAAGAACCTCAAGGATCATCTAGTCCAACCCCCTGCAATGAAGGAATCTCAACACACGGTCCCCCATCCAATTTGAAACCCTACTTAGCTTTGCAAGATAAGGATAAAAAAGCACACACAGACACCCTTGTCACCAGTACACTACCTTATGTGCAGTTGGCTGTATATGTTTGCGCCAGAGGGATCTTTTATATCTGCTGCTAATTTTTTCCATCCATCCTGCGGATCAATAAAATCAGCCAGTTGCCTCATCATGCCATAGCCAAGGCAACGCACACACATTGAAGGCGTTATAGGGCAGTCGCTCATCTCCGATTCCTAACAAATGTGAAAGAGATTGCTTTCAAATACCATACGACTTATTAGAAGATGTAAAGCTGGCAGCATGGTAGAGTCTTCATGGGGGTTTTTAAAACCCTCCTGTCATATTTGTGTCCAACTTCGCTGGGCACCTATGACAATGAAATCACACTCTTTCCCCTCTCAGTTACTTTTTAAAAAAGACTCACAAAACTACCATCTTCAGCTCCCTTAAATTACAGTTCTCGGGACTCTTTTGTGGGGAAGTGACATGCTTTCCTTCGGCATTTCCCAAAGTTGGGGTTCTCCCGGACTGCGATTCCCATCATCCCTGACCACTGGTCTTGCTAGCTAGGGATGATGGGAGCTGTAGTCCAGAAACAGCTGGAGACCCAAGTTTGGGAGACACTGCTTTAGATGTGCACACATCCATAATAAACTAGCCTGTGGAAGTGTGCAATGGGGGCAGAGGTGGTAGAATGAAGGCATTACCAACTTGTGGTGCATTATGAGAAAACATTTCCTGTGCGCAAGTTGTGAGGAGAGGACAGAACGAGGAAGGTTCCTATCTTTTTGACGTTTCCGGATCAGTGTTTTTAGGTGGGAGTTCGTAGCTGTCAGCTGTCAGCTGTCAATGGTAGTTACCCTGCATTGCACCTGACTCAAATAAGCCCAGCACATAAAGACAACAGAGACTTTAAAAAAGACTGGGAACCGTATATGATGTATATACAGAAACACTGTAAAGTAGTAGACTCGCTTGCAGGGTTTGACTAAACACTGACGATTAAGAAAACAAGTATAAAGGTTAAGAGGTACCAATTGGGTAAATAAGAAAATGTAAGATGTTATTTGGGAAACAGGGGATAAAAATGATAGAAATGCAATAATATTTAGCTAAACGATTACAAATTAAGGTAGAATAAGCAGAAGAAACAAATATTTAAAGAACCAGAGGAGGAAGTTGAGGGAAGTCCGGGGGGTAGCGGGGGATTTGTTTTTCTCTCTCTTTTTTTTTCTGTGATAAGGATGATCGTATTGAATATAAAAATGTAAAACTCAATAAAAACTATTTTTAAAGAATAAAAGATAAGCCCAGCACCGCTTCAGAAGAAAGAAAGAGAAAAGCGAGAAAACAAGCTAAATCTCACCCGCCGAGCGAAGGCTCTGCTTCTGAGCCCGGAGATGCAGACGCGCGCCTTCCCTCGCCCCGCCCACCGACGTCACCCGGGAACTTCCACCGCTCTCGCTTCCTTTGAAGCAAGCCCCGCCCATCTCGCCTTCGGAGTTGTGCGCATGCGCTCCGTTAAACAGGCTCGGGCCCCATCGAGAAAGGATCTACAAACCTATGCGGGAGGTACCAAGGAGGCGGTGGGCGGGAGGGTGGCTTGGCGTTTCGCCACGCTTTATCTCCGACCCAAATGTTTTAATCAGCTACCCTGCGCGGGGTTTTGGTCTATCTTTGGTTAGACAATCCTATCTCCTCCTCCTCCTCTACTCTTTCTCCTTCCTTTCCGCTGGCTCCACCCCTACTTTGATGAAAGTGGTATGCTCTGACTTCCTTGGCTCCGCCTCTTTATCCCCCCCCTCTACTAGATGGAAGATTCCTTCCAGTCGCTCCAGCGCTATTGCCGCCAGGGGTCCTCCTGCGCCGCGCGGATCGTCCTAAGTGTTCGCAGGGGGATTTCCGTGCAATTGGATACAATTGCAATTGGGACGTTGCACCGGCGGTGGGGAGTCGGCGTTGTGCGAGCCCGCAAAAGAGCCTTGACAGCAGGTCAGAGACCGCTGGTGTTGCCTACTCTGACTGGCAGCGGCTCCCCAAGGGGGTCAGAAAGCGGGGGGGGGGGGCATTCCCAGGCCTACCTGGATTGAACCTGGGAGCTTCTGCCTGCAAGGTAGAGAGACCTTAAGATCAAGGAGACACGTGGTCCTCCAGATGTTCTCGTGCTGCAAATCCCAACCAGTGTGGCTAATGCGAGCTGCTCTCCAGTAGCATTTGGAGGTCTACGCATTAGTCCACAACTGAAGTAGAGCCTGGCTAGCAATAGGAAGCAACTAGCAGCATCTTCCTGCAACCGTAGGAAATGGGGCTGCTCTTGCAAGGATCGCTGAGCCCCCTTCTCTCTCTCTTTCTCAGAGAAAGAGAAGTAATGTGGGTCTGGCTTGATCACTGTGAGATCATTTGTTGTTGTTTAGTCGAGTCCGACTCTTCGTGACCCCATGGACCAGAGCACACCAGGCACTCCTGTCTTCCACTGCCTCCCGCAGTTTGGTCAGACTCATGCTGGTAGCTTCGAGAACACTGTCCAACCATCTCGTCCTCTGTCGTCCCCTTCTCCTTGTGCCCTCCATCTTTCCCAACATCAGGGTCTTTTCCAGGGAGTCTTCTCTTCTCATGAGGTGGCCAAAGTATTGGAGCCTCAGCTTCAGGATCTGTCCTTCCAGTGAGCACTCAGGGCTGATTTCCTTAAGAATGGATAGGTTTGATCTTCTTGCAGTCCATGGGACTCTCAAGAGTCTCCTCCAGCACCATAATTCAAAAGCATCAATTCTTTGGCGATCAGCCTTCTTTATGGTCCAGCTCTCACTTCCATACATCACTGCTGGAAAATATGGAATCATAGATTTGGAAGGCACCACAAGGATATTATTGTTGTTGTTGTGGATTGAATTTATACACCGTCCTATACCCAGAGGTCTCAGGGCGGTTCACAGAACAAAATCAAAATATAAAACCACAATATATGTAATCAAAATAAAAACAACAACCCAATAACACCCCCTTCCCCACACAAAATAAAGAGCCATATTTTAAAAGGGCATAGGATATGCAATGCAGGAATATTTTGTCCAATGTGGGGCTCGAACCCTGACATTATCAGTCTCATGCTCTACCAACTGAGCTGCATGAAAGGTAGCAACCTAGAGTTACAGATGCTGGGGATTTTGGCTTCATGGTGGGTAAAATACAGTTCCCAGGATTCTTTGGGAGAAGCAGCGTGCTTTAAATGTCTAAAGGGAGCAAAGGAGTGGGAAAAGTACAGTGGTACCTCGGGTTACATACGCCTCAGGTTACAGACTCCGCTAACCCAGAAATATTACCTCGGGTTAAGAACTTTGCTTCAGAATGAGAACATTCTGGCGGCGCGGCAGCAGCAGGAGGCCCCATTAGCTAAAGTGGTGCTTCAGGTTAAGAACAGACCTCCGGAACGAATTAAGTACTTAACCTGAGGTACCACTGTACTGCTCTCTTTCTCTCTGACCAGTTCTGTGTAGGTCCAGTCCAGCTCTGCTCCCCAGTATTTCACCCAAAGAGAGAAGGCAAGTGGAAAGAGGAGGCAGAAGCTTTCCTGCCTATTCACCTCTACTCTCTGGACACAGCGTGATGGACCCAGTCCTTACCACAATAGCAAGTGAGATGGCAAGTGAGCAACCGAAGACAGTGGTAGCTGTTCCATGCAATTGCAACTCATTTATGTCTCCTTTTGCAGGCAAAAGGGGCAGCATCTGCTCTGGGGGACCTGCTGTCTAAGGAGGAGGTGATACTGCTATAGAACTAATGGGTCAGAACTAATGGGTTCTGCTGAGATCCTGGCCCATCAGCAGCTGCCCCAAGCTGTTGACCCCTGATGTCAAGCCCTGATCAAAGCACTTCCTTCTATCCATTCCTTATATACCCACTGAATTATGGGTATGTTGCAGCAGAGGGCAACAGTGAGCATGAATACTAAGTCTTCAGTGCTAAGCAAAAGATCCTGTTTATTCGACCATCCTTTGAAACTGTTATGTGCTTAAGATTTTGGCCTTTGTACAGTATAACAGAGGTTAAAATTGTGCTGATTTGTGTAAAGAAAAAAGAAAAGGAATATAAGCTACTTCCTCCAAATTTAATTTAATAGAGAGTGATTGTGTATGATTTTCTAAGACTTGGCTCCATCTTATCTTCATTTTTCCAGGCTGTATAATATTGGAATGGAAGAAGACTCTGACAGGGCAGTGGCATTCCACTCTTGCACTTACGTGAATGATCACATTGGCTTCTGCGGCAGCTTAAAAACGTTCCCAAAGGACTTTGTAGTAACAGAAATTAATGCATTCGGGCAGTTAGTTAATGAGATCATAGCAGATTCTTCTAATAAATCCTGTGAGAGCCTGTCAGAACAAGCTGGGTTCTGTCAACAGGATCCCAAAAGGCTGAGACTGAGTCGTCCAGAACTGTGCACAGATGAGGAATATTGCAACATTCGGGATGATGATGTTCACTGTTCCCCAGAATGTCTTTCTTTCTCTGTTGGAGAAAGTGAAGAATATAAAGCTGATATTGTACCTGAAAACCACCTTGCCAAAGCTGTTCCCCTGGACTCCTTATTAGATAAGCCCTTAAGGGAGCAACTCGGTCAGTTTGCTTGCCGTGTGAAAGACATGTGGGAGTCTAAATCTGAACTAGGGGTTCCTCCAGATGAATTTTCTCTTGGTCCAGTCCTTGACAAGAAGAATCGAGCCAGCTTGCATGGTGCCATCAGACAGGAATACCCTTTCTTAGCCACGGTGACAAAATGTGGTGAGATTATTGTAAAAGCAAATCAGGACTACCAAGATCTTTGCCAGCTGGTGTCTGAAGAGGAAGCATGTGGCTTTATGAAATTTTTAGATGCCAAACTAGAAAAATCAAAGTTTGCTTTCAGACCGGATGGAGATAAGGAACACCGGAAGATGGTTCACCACTTTATCAGTAAAAAATTTGGGAAGCTTGTAGAAACCAAGTCTTTCACCGACGCTCAACAAAAGGTGGTCATTATAGTAAGGTTTCGTGAGAAAAGTGGTTCAAGGAAAAGGGCTGCTGTTGACAGTGGGATGAGAAAAGAAATTTACACAGGTAAGTATGCAACAACAATTTTGTCACTTCCTTGGAAGGGTTTATATGTCCTTTGAAAATCCATCAGCCTATCATAGACTAATGTATCACTGTCTTATGGGACGTGGGTGGTGCTGTGGGTTAAACCACAGAGCCTAGGACTTGCCGATCAGAAGGTCGGTGGTTCGAATCCCCGTGATGGGGTGAGCTCCCGTTGCTCGGTCCCTGCTCCTGCCAACCTAGCAGTTCGAAAGCATGTCAAAGTGCAAGTAGATAAATAGGTACCACTCCAGCGGGAAGGTAAACGGCGTTTCCGTGTGCTGCTCTGGTTCGCCAGAAGCGGCATAGTCATGCTGGCCACATGACCCGGAAGCTGTACTCTGGCTCCCTCGGCTTGTAAAGTGAGATGAGCGCAGCAACCCCAGAGTCGGTCACGACTGGACCTAATGGTCAGGGGTCCCTTTACCCTTTACCTTTATCACTGTCTTAATGAAATCTACATGCATGAAGTCACACAGAGACAGCTTTATTGCGGTCCATAGACCCAAAATACACAGTACAACAATGGTAAATGTCAGTCATTATTAAGGTGTAAGATCGGCCTTGCTTGAATGAAGTCAGCACTTGTTAAAAAGAGCCACATCACAATAAGCTGGTTCACTCTTAAGGTTAAACCATTGCCTAAAACAAACTATGGTTTAACAAGCACTTTGCTCCTCCCCTACGCCTGACTGTGCTGTATCGGGGAGGAAATAAGCCAGAGTTTGGTTTGTTGTGATGTGTACAATCAGGAATTGAGCGGGCTCATGCCTCAGACGCCTCGGCTTCCGCTTGTAGGTTTGTTTGGAGGAAAACAAACGATGCGCCCAGGTTCACATGCCACAAGAAATCAAACCTGCTTGTTCCTGGCTTGCTTCTGCCCCCCTAGTGGCAAAGTCATGAACTGGGAGAGGAGTAAAGTCCTTGTTTTGATTAAACTATGGTTTGTTTTAAACTATGGTTTCATGTTGCATGTGAGCCAGGCTGGAACTGATGAGAGTTGTAGTCTAGCATCATTGGGAGGGCACTAGGTAGAACCAGTGATGCACAGGCAAGAATATCATTTCTGCAAGTAATTGCCGTGTAGCATGGAGTAAAATATGTTACTAGTTTATGTGAGAGATATGCTTACCTACAGGGTGGAGTTGATTTAAATCAAATTGATTTAAAGCACTAGTCAGTAAGACTTGATTTAAATCTTTTTTTCTTTTTTTTACAGAAAGACTCATTCTTTCTGGTATAATCTTAATATTTACAACCAGATGAAGGTTTCATTTTAGGAATAATAAATTTTCAGAGTAGTTTTTACAATTATATCAGAAATTACTGATTTGGATATACTATTAGAAATACCTAGACAGGTAATTATGAAATTATTGTGAGGTTTAATAAGTTACCTGTTTATATTTAGACAGCATTTCTGCTGTACTTTATTGGAAGGAGAAAAATAATCATTTCCTTAATAACAATTTAAACAATTTATTTAACTAAAACAGTAACATTATGTATCCATATGTATCCATGTTTGTTAACTGATGTGGTTAAATAATTTTTTTTTCAAAAAACCCCCAACAGACTGAGTTTTAGCAAACATGAAAAACTTATTATTATTTTTTTAAAATAATATTTATTAAGATTTGAAAGGTTACAAAAAGAAAAAATAGTGAACAGCATATCAAGCAAAAACAGAACATCACATCACAATAAGAAAAAAAAGAAGAAGAAAAAGAAAAAAGAAAAATATATACAATGAATCTTCCCATAACTTATCTTTTGTTTACTTGTTTCCTTGACCTCCTCACACCTCCCTTTTTTGTATTCTAGTTCAGTTAGCTATTTCAGCAAGTCCTTTCCATCTTTTCCAGTTTTTGTCCTATATTTTGTCTTAATATAATGTAACTTTACTTTCACCATTTAACAATTTGTTTTTTCTTAATGCTTTATAGCATTTCTGCTAAAACCACATTACTTCATTCCTCAAACATGAAAAACTTAAAACAAATCCTTATTTCCTGATGAATAGCCTTTGGACTGTAATGTAACTTAAAAAGAAAACTATCTTTAGAAAGAATTTTCCTCCAAAAGCATTTTATTTTCAAAATCCAATTTAAATTAAAAAGTGATTTAAATTTAAAAAATCATTTTTTAAAAAATAAAAGTTTAAAAAATTTGATTTTTATCAAATAACTTTGATACTGCATTTGCTAACATTTAGAAACGGCTTAAAACAAGGTATTTCTACTCCAGCTTAGTTTTAGTTTTACTGATTTCAGTAGAACAAGGATTAGTCAGTAAAAGACCCATTTTTCTCAATTGCTTAGCCGATGCCTACACTATCCTATCAACAGATCTTCCATTAGCTCAGTCGTTTGAGAGGGACACCATTCATGTTTTCTGAGCAACGCCATCCACTTGGGTGCACTGACTCTGCAATAATGTGGTTTCAGCTTTTACTCTCCGGAAAGAGAACCTGGAAACACTTGAAGCAATTAGCTTCTTGTCTGCTGAACTTGGCGTGCTCCCTTCAGACTTCAGTTACACAGGCATTAAAGACAAGAAGGCCATTACGTACCAAGCTATGGTTGTGAAGAAGGTGACGCCTGAAAGGTAATGAGAGATTTGTGGTCGCACTTTAACATCATGGTTTGAATTAGACTCTAGCTCTCTTTTTAAATTCAGATCTAGTATTTAATTTTGCTGGTTAGAAAGGAGCTCCATTTTGTTTTGAGTTCTTAACACTTGAAGCAATATGGAAAGTTAAAAGTCCTTTGGTATGCTGCGCATCTAGAACAGGGGTAGGAACCCAGGAGCCAAATGTGATCCTCCCAGCTTTTCTGTCCGGCTCTCTGGACTCTTGATTAATAAGCTGTGTTCTTGAGTACCATTAAGATAGAAATAATTTCCCTTCTTTTCAAAGCATTGCTCATTTAGTACATGAGAAACATGTTGATTTGGGTGTTTATTTCTACAGCTGCACATGTAGCAAAATGGTGTAATGTTACTTGTCTTAAAGCAATTTTCACGGTTAATCGGCTGAACCTTTCACTTGCTTTCTCATCGTTCTGATCCCCAAGAATCTGTTGTTCATCAAAGGGAAACTTTGTCTGCAACGCTCTCTAAAGCATAATGACTCTTTCCTTGTCGGCCTTACAAAAATAAACTCGCAGGACCATTTCTCTCCTCGGGTGTGTAATGTACATGCTTGTAATTGAAAACACAGCTGACAGTTCAAATATCTGACCCTGAAGTGTTCATTTAATCTTTTACTTCTAACACACATGAAATCCCCATTCAAGCCGAGGAAATGTTTTTCCAAGTAGAACTGCCACAGAATTGTGTGTGAGATTGGGGCAACACGTTGAAAATGCAATGTCGATTAAGTCCCTTTTTCTCTCTCTCGCAGAAGTATTCTGTAGAGTCTGTTACTAGTTAGCCCTCCCTTTTTTTCTTAAGCCATTTCTGCTTATACTTTTTTATTGAATACTACGCTGTTCTCACTCCCCAACTTTGCCCCGCCAGTCTTGGCTAAATTCTTATTCCTCAGCGCAAGGATATCTTTCTATGTATCAGTTGCACTACTTTTATTTAGTCATCATGCATATTGCTTATAATGCATGTCCCTATATAGTGAACAAATAAACAAACGAAACTTGAATACAGTATCTTCTTTAGCTTGTCTTCCACAGCTTGAGAAAGTCTTACTCTCTCATTTCCAATAATCTGCACACTGGTTGTTTTTACTTCTTTGTGGTTGTTAGTTGTCCAGGACATTTTGCAAAAATTAAAAATGGGAAAGTAGGATACGACTGTGCAAATATACAACAACAATTAAAAACACAGTTTGAGCTGAGAGACAAAAATAGGTAGTAGAATCAGCCCAAAGAGCAAAAACAGTAATATTTTCAAGTGGCATAGGAATGTCAACAGGGAGAGAAACCAAATGGAGTTCTGTAGTTTCGACCACCGCACACAGCCTGCTCCCTGACTACGCCCATGCTTTGCCTGCTCCTATGCACTTATCTCCTATGAACTATGCTCCTATGCACTTATTGGGACGTGGGTGGCGCTGTGGGTTAAACCACAGAGCCTAGGACTTTCCGATCAGAAGGTCGGCAGTTCGAATCCCCGTGACGGGGTGAGCTCCCGTTGCTCGGTCCCTGCTCCTGCCAACCTAGCAGTTCGAAAGCACGTCAAAGTGCAAGTAGATAAATAGGGACCGCTCCGGCGGGAAGGTAAACGGCATTTCCGTGCGCTGCTCTGGTTCGCCAGAAGTGGCTTAGTCATGCTGGCCACATGACCTGGAAGCTGTACACCGGCTCCCTCGGCCAATAAAGCGAGATGAGCGCCGCAACCCCAGAGTCGGTCACGACTGGACCTTTATGCACTTATCATGAGCTGGGTAATACATATACAACATTATCACTCTAAAAATTGATGGTTGGGTGGTCTTCATATGGATACATATGGTATGTGCATTAAAAAGTGACAAGGTTTGTGTGCAATGCTTTTATCAATAAGTACTTTTTGTTTAGCCTCCCTCCTGCAAAAATCAGGCCACAATCTTAGCACATTGTGGGGCCGAGAGCACATTATTGCAGAATTTCTGCTAATGCATATTTTGCAGCAGTGTTAAGTGGTAGCAACGAAATATCAAAAGTTGAAGGTCCAAGCAAGGGCATGCTTCCCCCCGGCCCCAGCAAAACCATTGCCAGTAAAATGCTATAGGAAGCTCATTTTTTGAAAACTGCTTCCTTGTTAAAATATTCAGTGTCTAGAAAATGACACGGCATTTCCAACGTTTGCTTTCTGCAGATTGAAAGAACTTGGAAACACCATTGGGAAAAAAGGAATTGGTGTGTCTAATGTACACTCTGCCAGTCAGCCACTGAGACTTGGTCAGTTGCAAGGAAACCATTTTGATATAATTGTAAGAGATTTAAAACTTAAAAGCGATGACTGTTCTGCGAGCCTAAAGGAGAGAGTATATCAAGCAACTGAGAACGTCAAGGTAAAGCAGGAGTACATTTCAAAAGATGCTGCCTCTAGCTTTCGTGCCTCTGTGATTTTAAAATACTACATAGTGTCCAGATCAGCATTGCAAGCTAAAGATGCACCTCTTTGCCTTAGCTTTGGGCACCTGAGGTGTGTATTTTTGGATCCACCTTATTTTTGTAAGTCTAAACTGTGTTTAATACTATGTAACATTGTATATTGGACGCAGGTGGCGCTGTGGGTTAAACCACAGAGCCTAGGACTTGCCGATCAGAAGGTCGGTTGTTCGAATCCCTGCAACGGGGTGAGCTCCTGTTTCTCAGCCCCTGCTCCTGCCAACCTAGCAGTTCAAAAGCATGTCAAAGTGCAAGTAGATAAATAGGTACCTCTCCGGTGGGAAGGTAAACGGCATTTCCGTGCGCTTTTCTGGTTCGCCAGAAGCGGCTTAGTCATGCTAGCCACATGACCCGGAAGCTGTATGCTGGCTCCCTCGGCCAGTAAAGCGAGATGAGCGCCGCAACCCCAGAGTTGGCCACGACTGGACCTAATGGTCAGGGGTCCCTTTACCTTTACCTTTAACATTGTATATTAATATTAATGTTGTGTTTTAATAGTCCTAATCTGCCCCAGAACCTTAGGATGACGGGTGGGAAATAAACTACTGTAGTAGTAGTAGTAGTAGTAGTAGTAATAGTAACAATAACACAAGTATAGTAATAGCTCCATGCTATTCTGCATCTGGGGAACACTGTGTACAGTTCTGGGTGCTACATTTGAAGAAGGATATTGATAAATTGGAGTATATCCAGAGAGGGGTAGCCAAGTGGTCTAGAGAACAAGCCCTATGAGGAATGGTTGAAGGCTGGAGAAGGTTAAAGGGAGCCATGATTCGTTTTCTTCAGATATCTGAAGGGCTATCTAGGGGATGGCCAGAAGGCACATGGGGCCACCATCTTGCTGAAGCTAAACAGCAATGGATCTGGTCAGTGCTTGGATGGGAAACCACCTGGGAGCTGTATATATGGAAGGAAGAGGTGATATATAAATGTAAGAAAATGAATAGTAATAAATAGGATGGAGCAGACTTCTTCTCTGTTGCTCCAGATGGCAGGACCTAGAGAAATTGCAGGGAAGCAGATTCCAGCGAAACCTTAGCAGAAACTTCCTAACAGTAAGAGCAGATGGGTCTCCTTCACTGAAGGTATTCAAGCCGATGCAGAATGGTCAGGCGTAGTTGCAAGATTCTTGTATTGAACATGGGGGTGGGCTACACAGCCACCTAGGTCCCTTCTAACTCTAAAATGCTACGATTCTTCGTCTGTTTAACTTTTCCTCTTCTGCTTTGCAGAAAAATGGTTTTATAAATTTCTATGGACCTCAGCGATTTGGACAAAGGCAGACTATACAGACAGATCAAATTGGATTGGCTTTGCTGAATGAAGAACTGGTACACACACACACACAATTTTATACTTCCCTTCCTCCTAAGAGCTATTGGGGTGGGGTGGGGTTACACATAGTTTTCCTTCCCTATTCTAACATTGCAACAATTTTGTGAGCTAGGTTAGTCTGAAAGAGATGCACTGGCCCATGATCACTCAGTGAGCTTTATGGCGGTGTGTGTGAGAACAGGGTCTTTTTTAAAAATCGGATTATCATTCCCTCAATTTCCATTGTTTACACTGTGAGTGTTGTTCCTTATGTAGATAAAACAGCACCCACTGTGCAGACTTAGGGGGACTCCCAAGGTTTGCAGAAGTACATAAAAATCTTTAGAAAATGTAAAGTGGGAGGGGAAGGAACCCCAAACAGTCCATGAGGACTAAGTGTGTGCCACATTTGGACATAGGTCGCCCTTGTAAAAGTCCAATCATTCAGAATCAAAGCTGGTGCTAACTTAAGAAACTTTTAAGAACACGTAAAGCAACATGGCATTTGTGTTTACTTGCCTTAAAGGTCAAGGCGGTGAAATTGTTTTTCACGCCAGAAGATTCAGATGATCCTGTAAATAAAGCGAAGAAATACTTCCTTCAGACCGGTAAATATGCCATCTCCTATGAAACATATCGCAGGAAGAAAACCTTGCTGCGTAGTGAGGAAGAAACGTTTGGGTTTATTAACAGAAGCAATATTAAAATCAGTGGAAGTCAGTAAATAGTTATGCGCTCGTGTGTGTATGTGTATCTTAAAAGATTCTCAGTATTTGCTTTTTAAAAGATATTGATATACAGTACTGCTTAACATTCAGCATTTCGTAATGTATATATAAAGATATATAAAATATATACAGTCGTACCTTGGAAGTCGAACAGAATCTGTTCCAGAAGTCTGATTGACTTACAAAATGTTTGAAAACCAAATTGTGGCTTCTGATTGGCTGCAGGAAGCTCCTGCAGCCAATCAGAGGCTGTAGAAGCCCTGTCGGACATTCAGGTTCCTAAAGAACATTCGCAAACCGGAACAGTCGCTTCCGGAGCCAAAACGTATGAGTTCCAGGGCATTTGACAACCAAGGTACGACTGTATTTAAAGCGTACAAGGAATAAGATCAATTCAATTCATTTATTTAAAGGCGGAAAACTCCCTCAGAATGCCTGTTGAAATAAGAAAGTCTTTGTTAGATGTCTGAAGTTCCTTGGAGGGCAGTGTGTTTGTGTGTCTTTTTCTGCTCTCCATTGTGAACAATGGGTTACATCACACAATACTTGGCCCATGTCTTGAGTTAGCACATCTCCCACGTCTGTCTCCACCAGACCTTATTTATTTATTTAAAAATACAAGTTGAAGGACATCAACAACAAGGACTTTATTTGCGTAGCCAACAGGCCATAGCATCAAAGGACAAACACCGTCAAAAATACATTACAAATATAGTTACCGTATAATCTTATGGCCTATTAAAACCCTGGTTTCACCTCAGATCGTATAAATCTTTCACCTTTTACAAGTTGAAGTAGTAGAGCTACAATGTCAAGATATGCCTTAGTTGCTTTGACAAGCTATTATATGGGCATGGTGCCCTTTTACGTGACTGCGGCGATTACTGTCACCCTGCAGTGACCCACCTTAGGTCTTTGCCCACGAAAATCTCTCCTGTAATTTTAAACACTCTTGCTTTCATTTCTGAACGTTCGCTGCAAAGTTTCCTTTCCATATTGCCCTTTCCTCCACGGGGCTTTTCTTTGCCGCTTCCAGTGTAACTGGAGCTCCCTAGAGAGTTGGCTGCTTCAGTGATGTAACTAACCTTTTCTTCAAACTGCCAGGAATTAATTGCTTTCCCATGCCCTGAAGAGCTACATAGAAAAAGGGAAGTAATCATCACCTAATTGAGCAGTGAGCTGCAGAATATAGACCACAGCATGACATCATTTTCAGCACCTTTTTAATGGGGGGGGCACTATTTGCAGAAAGGATCCCCCCCCCTCACAAGATTATACATTTGCCCATGTTAGGAGGTTAGCAGAAAGGAAGTGAGTAACTGAGGGGAATGGACGTGCCTGATAAGATCTGCAGGTGCGAGTGTTGCTGTTTTTTTCTGGGAAAGGGGTTTTCTGAAAATGTCGTTTCAGATTCTGCTGTAAAGATGCTGTTCTTCAGCGATGAAAATCAAGCAAAATAAGGAAAAACTATTTTTTGATACATCATTTCCCCCTTTGAGCTGAGTTGATGGACACATTTAGTATTCCCCTTGCCTCTAACACATTCAGAAGAGTGGACTCTCTCAGCATTACTTACTTGAAGCAAAAGCACATTTACCTAACATTCCTTGGTTAGAGGAATTAAGGGATGTGTGTGGGTGATGAATTGGAAACAGAAATATTAGTTTTCTCTGAGTTTGAAATCTGAAATACTCCCTCTTTTCCTACAAATGTTACCACCCACGCCAAAAAGACCACTTCTTTTTCTTAACAATTTTCCTGCTTTCCTTATGGAAATGCAATTCTTTTCATTCTCATTGCCTTCTCTGGCTCTCACTTTCCATTGACTTCGCTTGTCCTTAACGATGCTGTGATGTAGTCAAATCACATGGGCTGCATAGTGCCAGGATGATACCCCATTCCCTGTGTGATCCCAGATCACCTGAAATTGCCAAGGTGGCTAATGGGATAAGAAGAAAGAAGTAGCAGGAAGAAATAGTGCAGAAAGTGGAAAGGAAACAGTGAGCCAGTTTGTACGTGACACTAAGCTAAACCATGGCTAAGCTAATGAATCTGCATGCAGGTAGCTGCAGCAGAAATCATGGCCGCTTTGCTTCTCACCTGCGTCTCCTGAAGCTAAGCCATGGTTTGTGTTAGTATTGTGTCCAAACCCAGACTCATTGTTTGTCTTCCCCAGACAACCATGAACAGCAAGCCAGGAACAAACCTTGGCTACAACTTATGGTTTGTCTAGAGCAAGGCAGGTAGACTGGTGACTGGGAGTGGCTGCCAAGACCACATAACACCGGTCCTGAAAACCTACATTGGCTCACAATACGTTTCCGAGCACAATTCAAAGTGTTGGTGCTGACCTTTAAAGCCAGGCATAGGCAAACTCGGTCCTCCAGATGTTTTGGGACTACAACTCTCATCATCCCTGACCACTGGTCCTGTTAGCTAGGGATGATGGGAGTTGTAGTCCCAAAACATTTGGAGGGCTGAGTTTGCCTATGCCTGTTTAAAGCCCTAAACAGCCTTGGCCCAGTATACTTGAAGAAGCATCTCCACCCCCACCGCTCAGCCCGAACACTGAGGTCCAGCTCCGAGGGTCTTCTGGCAGTTCCCTCACTGCGAAAAGTAGGGTTACAGGGAACCAGGCAGAGAGCCTTCTCGGTGGTTGCACCCGCCCTGTGGAACGCCCTCCCATCAGGTTTCAAGGAAATAAACAACTATCTGACTTTTAAAAAACGTCTGAAGGCAGCCCTGTTTAGGGAAGTTTTTAATGTTTGATGTATTTATCGGGTTTTTAATATTCTGTTGGGAGCATGCCAGAGTGGCTGGAGAAACCCAGCCGGATGGGTAGGGTAGAAATAATAAATTGTTGTTGTTGTTGTTAAGTAAACTGGGCGGGGGGGGAGGAGGAAATGAAACAAGTAAAACATCATCATCATAATCATCATCATAGTAGTTGAGATAAATATTTATCTGCCCCCAAAGTGCTATTTTTGACATGGAAAAGTGGAGAGCAAATCTGCACATTAGCCTCCTTTGCTTTTAAAAGGGATCCTTTCAGTTTTTTCAAACTAATGAATGAATAAATCCGACAGCTTAGAGTTGGGGCTCCTTGACTCTTGGAAGTACAAGCACCTTTGCAAAGCCAAGAGGGCACAGTCTCAACCGGGAACAAACACAGAGCATAATGCACGTGGTGGAGAGGACTCAAAAGGGGGGAAATCAGTGGGCAAAAGAAGCAACCAGCACCTTTCAACCACCCACTGCTTCTCATATGATATGTGGAGGAGAAACAGAAGTTGTGCTACGAAGGTGCACCTTAGAAGCAGAATGTGTAGAAAGAAGCTCATGATCAGTTTTCTCTGTTTTTCAGAGGACGCCAAAGGTACCCTCGCAATGCTGCCTGACTTCAAAGTCAGAGAGACGATGCTACTGCGTGCCTTGAACCGCTACGGTATAAATCACGAGGGATGTGCTCGAGGGTGGCTCAGTATTCCTCACTCCATGCGTATTTTCTACGTCCATGCATATTGCAGTAAGATTTGGAACGAAGCCGCTTACTACCGGATTAAGATCTACGGGACAAGAGTTGTGGCTGGCGACCTCATCTTTTCGGCAACACGTTCTGAAAGCTGTTCGCTGAATGACAAGGTAAACAGGAGCTTGAAAGGCACGGATAGCAAATCTGATCCTCTCTGGGTCTGTTAAATTTCATTAAAATTCGAGCGAGGCCTTTCATCTTCCTGGTACTCCATAAATAAACATGCTGTGTTTACAAAAGGTGCAGTCTGGTTTGGCAGAACCAGTCAGATATAGATTATTTTGCTATGCATGTTTATGAGAACCAAGCCTTTTTTGTGTGAACTATAATGTGGTCCAGGATGTCGCATGCATGAAATGGGATAGTGCTCCTTTTGGAATAAGATGAATGGATGTCAGTTCATGATGTCAATGAGTTCAGGAAATTAATTGGTGCAAGTTCAGGTAACATACCCCCTTATAAATCAGATCATCCTATAATTATATTTTTTTTTTGCAAAAAATAATAATAAACCTATAAAAAACCTTTACCCATGTACATAATGTCTTCTGTAGATACTACCAGTTTGCTTTCAAACTCATCGCTATTATGAGGACTAGAACTGTGTCTTTGGTTTTGTTTTGTTGTTGTTGCTTAGTTTAATAGGGTCTTCTCAAAAATAATGGCTAGGGAGCCAATGAAATTGTATGTGGATGGCATCTCAGAAGAAACAGCACTGCCCAGTTAACACAGCTATATTTCACCTGGGCTGAAAGGCAGGGTAGAGATATTTAGATAGGTTAAAAACATAAACTCTGGATTATTCAAAATGCTATTTCAGAAAAATAAAAATCAGAAGACGTCATCCAGTTGGAAGCCCATGTACTCTTTAATCATGAAGTTATTTCAGCATGGCTAACATTAATTTCACATTCTTTACCATTTAAAGTGGTGTGTTCTGTGATTACGAATGAGATAAGTACACAGCCAAGTCAAACAGTTGTTTCTAATTTTGTGTTGGTTGAAGCCAACCATTTGACTTTGCAATAAATAATTTGGAAATGTTTTCTCTTAAAGGATGGCAAGGGTTGCAATCTTATACCAATTCACCTGAAAGTAAGCTCCATTGAATCAATGGAATTGAATTCTGAGTAAGCGTGCATAGAACTGCATTGTAGGCGTACAGTAGGCATATGATTGGTTCACATTCTACAGAAATTCTACTGCCTCTCACTCATGGCAATGTCCAAGTAGTGAAGTTCCACTCGAGAAGCTCCTATGGGTTAAGCCACTGTGCCGCTTGGGCTTGCCGATTGAAAGGTCGGCGGTTCGAATCCCCGCAATGGGGTGAGCTCCCGTTGTTTGGTCCCAGCTCCTGCCCACCTAGCAGTTCGAATGCACACAGTGCAGGTAGATAAATAGGTACCTCTCCAGCGGGAAGATAAACAGCATTTCCGTGTGCTGCTCTGGTTTCACCAGAAGCGGCTTAGTTAGGCTGGCCACATGACCCGGAAAAACTGTCTGTGGAAGCGGACAAACACCGGCTCCCTTGGCCTGTAAAGCGAGATGAGCGCCCCAACCCGAGTCATTCACGACTGGACTTAATTGTCAGGGGTCCCTTTACCTTTACAGTGGTACCTCAGGTTACATACGCTTCAGGTTACATACGCTTCGGGTTACAGACTCCGCTAACCCAGAAAGATTACCTCGGGTTAAGAACTTTGCTTCAGGATGAGAACAGAAATAGTGCTCCGGCAGCGCGGCAGCAGCGGGAAGCCCCATTAGCTAAAGTGGTGCTTCAGGTTAAGAACAGTTTCAGGTTAAGTACAGACCTCCGGAACAAATTAAGTAATTAACCCGAGGTACCACTGTAATCAAAATTGCCATCAAAATGATAGAGCATCGCTGCAGTACTAACAGTTCAACAATTCATTTTTCTTTAGAAATATATCACAAAAAATGAAGCGAGCATGCCAGTTAATATCCCAAAATAGCCCTAAAACTAATATAAGATCTAAAGACCAGACACAGTTTTTTGGGCAGCTGTTCCCTCTTGGGGAACAGGTAGGTAGAAGCCGCTATACCTTGATGGCTAACACAGTCTCTTCCCTCCCTTTACTAGCAGAGTTCTGACAGCACAAGCCTAGCCTAGCCATGTCTACTCTGAGCAAGACCCGCTGGGGCTTAATGCCTGGTAGCTGGGGTTAGGATTGCAGACTGAATCCTTGCATTTATGTTTTTAACTTTCAATACTGCATTGCAAACTGGCCTGGGACTTATTTGAAGGATGGTAATAGAAATCTCTAGAATAAGTCAATAAAAACATGTTACATACTTTCCCCCATTTTTTATACCAGGTCCACATAGTAACAGCTGCAGAAGAAGAGGCTAATGAATATGCAATAAATCAGGTACGTTTGGGGAAAATGCATTTCTTTGAAGTATTAAAGGAGCACTAGGCTTATGACATACACTTGTAAGTTACAGGTATAGCTTGATCACTGGAAAATATAAATACAGTCGTACCTTGGAAGTCGAACGGAATCCGTTCTGGCATTCCGTTCAGCTTCCAAAACGTTCGGAAACCAAAGCATAGCTTCTGATTGGCTGCAGGAAGCTCCTGCAACCAATCGGAAGCCACGGCGGACGTTCGGCTTCCGAAAATCGTTTGAAAACCAAAACACTCACTTCCGGGTTTCGATCGTTAGGGAGCCAATTTGTTTGGGAGCCAAGGCGTTTGAAATGCAAGGTACGACTGTAGAAGGAAATGCCAACCCAAACCAAAAATCCAGATCTTTGTGCATTTTGCAGGGTTTTCTCGCTACCACCCTTCCTCCATCCCCCCACCCCTGCAATCAGCAATTCCTTTGTGTTCCTTTGTTATGACATCTCCTGGGCATGCATAAAGGTAAAGGTAAAGGGACCCCTGACCATTAGGTCCAGTCGTGACCAACTCTGGGGTTGCGCGCTCATCTCGCTCTATAGGCCGAGGGAGCTGGCGTTTGTCTGTAGACAGCTTCCGGGTCACGTGGCCAACATGACTAAGCCGCTTCTGGTGAACCAGAGCAGCACACGGAAATGCCGTTTACCTTCTCGCCGGAGTGGTACCTATTTATCTGCTTGCACTTTGACGTGCTTTTGAACTGCTAGGTTGGCAGGAGCAGGGACCGAGCAACGGAAGCTCACCCCGTCGTGGGGATTCGAACCGCCGACCTTCTTATCGGCAAGTCCTAGGCTCTGTGGTTTAACCCACAGCGCCACCCACGTCCCTGGGCATTCATACATGTGCTTTTATACAAACCCGCTCCCCTTCCACAGATACGCTCACCTTACTTTTTTCTTCCCAAAGGTGATTATCCCAATGGCTGGCTACAACGTCCGCTATCCCACTAACAAAGTCGGGGAGTGGTATCGCAAAAGACTTGCTCATGATGGACTGCAGCTGTACCAGTTTAGGCTTCCTTCGTTACAGCTGAACGTTCCTGGATGCTATCGACATCTCCTGAAGTATCCGCGTGATCTGTCGTATAGGTTTTTAAAAAGCGGCGAAGAACCGGTGGGAACTGGGGACAATTCCCCCAAAGATCCCGAAACTTCTCTTTCGGTGTCGTTTTGGCTCGATCCTTCGTGTTACGCAACTGTTTGTTTGGGGGAAATAATGAAGTGCAATCTTTAAAAAGAAAAGGCAGAGCTTCGCTGTATAGAAATACGACACGCTCAATAAAAATGGCATGGGGCTGCGTAGAAAATAAATGGTGCTGTACCTTGGCTTGGGGGAGGTGGGGGCTGCTCCTCAGACTGCAAAATGTATTGGACCAGATCATCCCACCTTGGATCTACTGTAACAAGACAGTGCAGGAGTACTGCCAAGCTGCCAGGCTTATGCTTCCCGAACAGGTAAACCCAACATCCCTGTGCTCCTAAATTGGACCTGCATCTAATTCTTTGCCTTATCCACACATTAAGTTCCAGGTTGTTATTGCTCACCTAGCCTGCATCTGGGTATTCGTACCACAGGCCCTACATTTCATGCAACTCTCTGGAGCTCTCCAATTTCTCTTTGGCACTGGGTGAAAACCGTTTGTGTCTGATTTTTGAAATCTGGCTTTCACTGTTCTTTTGACACTGATTTCCCCCCCCCCCCCCGCTCCACTCTGCTTTCAGATTGCTTTGTTTTTATTGGCCATTATGGCAGCCTGGTCTTGGGACTTGTTTGGGGCCGAAGAGCAGGGTGAAAGTGCAGATAATGAAATGGAATGAAAAACAGAACCAGGGCATATGTGGTGCCGGGGTGCAAAGATCCGCCCGGCACCCCCCCCCCAGGTTGCCCAGTCCCAGGTGCGCAGGAGGGCGGAGCCAGCCGGCCGCCTCAGCATCTCACTGGCTTGGTCGCCCCCCAACTCGCAGAAGAAGAGCCACAGCAGAAGAGCCCGCAGCGCCGCTCCGACCGACGAGCAGGCTCTTCCCCGAACTCAACTCTCAGGCCCTGGACATTCGGCCTGGCACCCCTGAGAGTCCAGCACCCGGGTGCTCCACACGCCTAGCACCTATGGGTAAGATGGCCCTGAGCAGAACTGTGTGTGTCACCTGCAAGTTGATTATACTAACTCTGAACTTATTCTGTCCCAGCCATTGCATCGTAGTGCTAGGAAAAATATTTGAAGTACCCTGGACAAATCCCGCATGGTAAATAATAACAATAATAATAATTTATTATTTATACCCCACCCATCTGACTGGTCACCCTGGGCACCTCCCAACAGAATATTAAAAACACAATAAAATATCACACATTAAAAACTTCCCTAAACAGGGCTTTAGATGCCTTCTAAAAGTCAAATAGTTGTTTATCTCCTTGACATCTGGTGGGAGAGCATTCCACAGGGTGGGCGCCACCACCGAGAAGGCCTTCTTGCCTGGTTCCCTGTAACTTGGCTTCTCGCAGTGAGGGAACCACCAGAAGGCCCTCGGAGCTGGACCTCAGTGTCCTGGCAGAACGATGGGGGTGGAAATGCAGTGGTCACTCAGCGCTACCTTCTGACATAGCATCATTAGGTAGGAGCATATTGTCCTCCTGACCCTCTGCCTTTTGGACTTAAGTTCCCTAGTCTTTCCTGCTGCTGCATCCTGTCAAAACTAACTATCCTTCATATACCAAGCCCCCTCTTTCCTGTCAAAACCACACTCTCCTTCCTGTTCCCAGCCCCCTTTCCTTTGGCTCCTCTTTTCCTCAGCTGCTTGTTTCTCTTCTCTTTCTCTTTTTTAGGTCTTTGGTTCTTCCATCCATATCTAAGGTCTTTGCTCCCCTCACTCCATTGCCTGCTCTGTCCTTCCTTTATACTTCCAATTCAATACCGCCTTCTGCAAGTCAGAAAAATGGAGCCATTGGGTTTGACCCCAGATCACACAGCTCTTTTTGCATAAGGCACAGGGAACACGTGGGGTTGTTGGGTTTGAATTGACTACGGTTCAGCATATCGTCCTAAGAGACCTCCTGTGTTTGTTTATCCACAAACTGTTGCTATGCCCTGAGATTCTTCTAGTGCGAGTAAATGAAGAAGCCCTATATGGACTGGAGTAACAGCTATTAAGATAAGGCTTTGGGGCCTGGCTCCAGAATGACACATCAGAGAATTGCATTGTTCCAAGTGGGCAGTTGTGTTATATTAATAGGCTCTGACGCTTCAACACAGGCTGTGCTGCCATGTTAGCCTATGTGAATACTAAACTGTTGTATAATGGAATGAAAATATAATCTAAACCAGGACTGGGTTTTTGTGTTTAAAGGACTTCTAGGTCAGGTCTGCCACTGAAAATGAAATTTCTGGGTTGAGATGTATTCTGAGGTTCCCTTTCCCCTTATTCTAAATATATGTTCACCCCTCTTTCAAAGAGCTGGATAGCTCAGTGGGCTAGAGCGTGGTGCTGATAATGCAACGGTTGCAGGTTCGATCCCTGTATGGGACAACTGCATATTCCTGCATTGCAGGGGTTTGCACTAGATGATCCTCAGGGTCCCTTCTAATTATGCAATTCCATGAAAGTCACTGCATTGCACTTGGTTCCAGCTGGTAGGCATTAGGGCTGTTGTACACAAAAATCAAAATAAAACCCGCTAGCTTGAAATCCACCCACCTCTGATATAAACTATAGTGCAGTAGAGTGAATGGAGTTCACATACTTGCACAACATGATCTCCAGTTACATAATACTGCGTAATTTGCCTTATAGCAATCATTAACTCAACCTACTGCGTCAGCGCCTATATGGGGAGGAGACTGAGTTCCTTCATTCCCACAAGTGGATTCTCCATTACAGTTTAAGAAGCAACAACAACACTGTGGCCCCCTCTGCGAGCTGCCTTACAGTTATCTTAAATGAGCAACCGAAAAGATGAGCCTTTTAAACGACTACTCATTGCAAACCTTTTCTTTTATAAAAAATGGGAATACACAACCTGTTCTTAAAAGGCACAACAGTTAGCTGCATTCCCAATGTTTCAGAGCATATGAGAGAGGGGAAGGATGTCATTGTGCAGTGTATGAATCCCTGCAAAAAAATGGGGGGGAGATGCAGCCACAAATCACAAGCAGGATGATTTGGAATCTTAACCAGTTGCAAAAAGATTAAAAATATGATGCAAGGCAGCATATAGACATTAGTTGCATGCATTCTGCTTCATCTGCAGGTGGCGCTGTAACTTTGCAGGAACTAATGGGGGAGGGAAGCAACGCCAGCCATTTATTTAAATGACGTGTAGAATGCTGTTGGTATTATTTCAGATTTTTCCTGGGTTGATGCATCTTATTCTATGGGGTTCAGCCTCTGATTCTATTTCTAAAGGCTATAGGATTACCTGAGAGCAAGAAGTGAGTTTTGGAAGCACAGACTTTACCCATTACATCCCCACCAAATTTGAGTTACGGTACTGGTCAATGTGTCAGAGGGGTTCTGGATAGAAGATGAATGGAGATGGAGCATTTTGTATTTTAATGGTCCTTCAGAAATGCAGGTTTGTAACTATCAAATAAAAAACCATGGCTGACCATTTGCCTTTGGACAATAACCGTCTATATACAGATGCTGTTTAGATTTTATCATAGGCATTTGTGTTAGGCTAAAAGAGTTGGTATGCCGCTATTTGTATTACATAAAAAATTATTATTTTTTTATTCATCATACATCTGAGAATTTAAATTGCCAATCTCTTCAGCCCGATGAAACCAATCTGTGAACTCACAAAGCTTGCATCCTTTTACCAGCAAAAGAAATTGGTCGAGTCAAAGGAATTGCCTTACAGAAGTTTTTGTTTAATTCTTTGGGAATTACAACATTTTTTGTAGATGAAAAATATATTGCATTAAGTCCTGGAAAATAAATTCTGTTTGTTTTATATACAATCCTAGGCTATTTAATCCTTGATGAGGCAAATCTCCCAGGGCATTGTTACTTGTTTTATTACACCATTCTTGTGCAACTATGAATCCACCCTAAACTTGAATTGTCTTGTTCAGCATATAGTAGTGATATGTGAAAGTTGCAATTCTTGAGCTTCAGATCAGTCATTATTGAGTTTCGGATCAGGAAATACTAATGCTAAAGCTATGCTAGTCTGAGCCAAAGCTCAATGGGCGCTGGTACATGTTCTGGAGTCTACAAGCTTCTCCATTCCCCATTGTGTGCTCACAACCACAGCTGTGTGGACAGATTGCATGTACGCATGAGCAAAACATAACTGTATTCCGGAAACCACTTCACTTAGTCATTCTAAAAATCAGCTTCGATACACTTTTTCTTAGGAAGAGTTCAGCATATGTACAGATAACGTGTGAACAATCTCATTGCCCAATAGTGGCTTCACTTGCGTGAAGTGGGAATCACACAGAAATCTCCATGTAAATGATGTTCTTCCTTGCATGGAATATAAAATTGCTCACAGCAGGAGATATGTGCAGCTCCCTTCTGCACAACAGCCTGAAGAATGGATGCATGTGTGAGGCTCTCCCAATTCTTCTGAATCCTCTGTCCAAGAATCTTTCCAGGTTGTGGTGTTGAAGGTGACCATGGATGATCTAGTCCAACCGCCTGAAATACAGGAATCTTTTGCCCATGTGGGGATCAAACCAATGACCCTGAGATTAAGAGTCTCATGCTCTACTGACTGAGCTACCCCAGCAGGGTTGGTTATAAATCCACCTAGTGGGTTAAGTTCAGCTTGGCCCATTGCAAGTTGAACATAACCCACCAGGGAAATGCACCTGATGAGATGTCTTTAAGCCATTGATTTGCTACTCCAGGCTAACCCTGCTTCAATCTCTGCCTGCTTTTTCACTTATGGCCCAGTACTGTTTTCACAAACTGACTATATAGACCATTCCTTGCTGTGAATGTAACCTCTGTTTGGCAACCTCAAGCTTGAAGTTCTGATTACTCCTGCACATGTTGATAGATTTAGTTCAATTTGGCTGTTCCCTGCTCTTCCTATTCCTCTGATCGTGACATATGGTATACATTACAGATTTTCAGAGGCTAAGGGTATATGTAATTTACAGCTAGATCCTAAATTAGTGTAACTACATTGCAGTCAGCTTGCATCTAGCGAACCTTTTCTATACAGATTGCAAATCCAGACTTGCACATGCAGCTAATGATTATCTCCTTGATGAAATAAATATAACGTTAGTAATATTAACAAGTAAATGTTATTGGTGTGTAACCTCCGGGTATAGGGCAGGATATAAATTCAAATAATAATAACAATAATAAAACATGTTCAGATTCATGCAGTTCCATCATCTTTAAAACAGATACTTTATGCCCATTTAAATATGGAGCACAACTGCCCTGTGGTACTATTTGACTATAATATTCATTGCATATGAAAGATTTATTTCTAGCAAGTGACTTTGTTCTTAAATAATAGCAAAGGCATGAATTATGCCTTTACTCCTTATTTCCTTAATGGCCATTTTAAAAAAATGCACTCAAAAATAAAGACAGCAAATAACTCTTTCCCACCCCTACCCCGGCCTCTTTCCTCAGTTCTTTTTGCTGTAGAAACCATTAATAACTTGTGACTTCAAGTTCATAGGTCATATCTGAGAAATTCAGAGCAACCTAGGAAAACTTAATTTGGAATGACATACGTGCCAACCCTCCCCTTCAAAAATGGTAAGAGGAATTCACATCTGAGTATCCATTTTTTAATATATATATTTCTAAGTGATGCTTCTATTGACTGTATTGTATTTTAGTCTGAGCCTGGAATGTGAGTTAATACAAGCTCTTCCTCCGGTGATTTAGCATAGTGTAAGCATATTGAAAATGCAGACATTTTTAAAAGATCCCAAAATAGAGAAGAAAACAGAATGGAAGTGGAATTTGGGGAGGTTATGTCAGTATAATTTAAAGCAGGTATGGCCATTGGTCGCCTCTGGGCCACTGCCAGTAGTCTGGTCCTCCACACACACACACACACACACACACACACACACTGTGCCGGATTTACATATAAGCTAAACAAGCTATAGCTTAGGGCCCCACTCTCTTGGGGCCCCTAAAAAAATTTAAAGGGGAAAAAACCTGGATGTACATTTCCAAAATATAAGATAAAAAACAAATAAAATAAAACCTACATACAGCAACAGTGTTTTGTGTTGTGTAGGCTCCTATGATGTAAGTAATGGGCCCCACCTGCTCCCTAAAATATCACTGGTTTGCCCCTTTCTATATATAGGGTGCCTACATTCTGCATGGACTGATTGCATGGCAACACATGCAAATGGCTTTAGATACCTATTACCGGTAGGTCCATAAATTACCATATAGCATATATTTAACACAAAAAACAGCAACAATTTGTTGTTGACAAAGGACAGCTGGAAATATAAAGGGCCCCATTACCTTCAGTAGCTTAGGGCCTCCTCAAACCTAAATCTGGCCGCACGCACGCACGCGCGCGCACACACACACACACACACACACACACACACAGACACTGTGCTATGAGAGGTGTCACTTCTCAGGTTGGTGTCAAGGAATGAAAGGTAGTTTCTAATTCCCAATACAAAGTGGGAGAGGACTAGCAGAATACATTTTGGCACTTGAGACGGGTCCCAAAACAGCACCCCCCATTCCCCTTCAGTGAAGAAGGTGTCAGGGAAGTTCTACATCAGGAATGGGGTGTCATGGGTCAGGAGTCAGCTTTGCCTGTTGAACAGCAGCCTGAAGGGGGAGTGACTCCATCTGCAGCTGATCAGGCTCCAAGGAGGCAGAGGAGAAGGTGCTGATGAGAACTAGCTGGCTTCAGCCTTCTTAAGCAGAGCTCTCAGCAGCAATTAAGAAACTAATGAAATTGAATTAGGGACGAGCCGACGCAAGTTGAGTTGCACAACTCAAATTGATTTGTTTTGTTGTTGTTGTTGTATAATATATGTCAACGATCCCAAAGTTTAAGAGACAGTAGCACAGATGTTGTAAAGGGTGTTGTGAACAAGCCCATTGAAGAAGATAACCGTGGCTACCCAGACCTCATTGCTGGTTGTGAAGGGCCCCTCACAACTCTTCAGTCTTCAGGGGCCCCAAATGTAGGTCTGCCAGTGACAGAA